GCGCCAATTACAGTCAGGTCCTTCCCTACCTGGTCTTTCCAACGGAGTGGAGGTCTTCCTCTTACTCTGCTTTCACCGACGGGTACTGCATCGAAAATTTTCAAAGCTGGAGTATTCGCATCCATCCGGACCACATGACCTAGCCAGAGTAGCCGCCGCTTCTTGATTCGCTGAACTAAATCAATGGCGCCGCATAACACGTGGATACTTGAGTGAATAAGCGAGGCACGCCGAATGCTCAATTTTCAAAACTATACGTATGGGTTTGAGTAGAGGGTGGGGTCATCAGGATCATAAGTGGTATGACTATGTGCAGGTTTAATGCCTGTGAGATGATCTCCGGGCTAGACTTATAAATCAATACAACGGCCGCGGTAGCCGAGTGGTTAGTGTTGCGTACTGACATTCAGAAGGCCAGGGTTCATATCCCGGTACCAGCAAGATCCAATTAAGTTAAATTTTCGAATTGCTGTCGCCCTCGGCACCTCGTCCACCGCTCCGAGTGTATTTCGGACATGAAATAAAGGCTCCTCATAAAAATCATAAGCCGTTTGGAGGCAGCTTAGGTCCTTCCATTTGTTGGAAAAACATCGAAACGCAAACCACAAGTCGTAGGAGGAGCTCGGCCGAAAAATCGCTTCATCGGTTATAAAGCGCCAATTATATATATATATATATTTTTCAAATCAAAATTATTCCAAGTCATTACTCTTAGAATAACTGTAACCGCAAGAGGTCGTATCTTGTTTTCGCAGTTTCATGCTACTTGTAGACTCCAATATTTTCCCAGTTCTCTGTGTTCTCAGCCGGTGGAGTATCGAAAAAATTGAAAGGTGTAGTTTCGTCAATATCCGCGCTATTGCTTTAAGTAGGACGCAGAGCAAGCATCTGCAACGAGAAGTCATTATGCTTCTAGTTTTAGTTCTGGTCATCGGATGGACGAAATTATCTACACAGTCGAAGTCATGACATAAAAGCCCCGGTGTTTCTTGACAAGAGATTCCAAGTTGTTTAGTAAACAACTCGAAGAGGCTCTTCCCTATTTGGAGAGACTGTATACAGTTGCGGAGATAGCAAATTCATACATAGTCATTTAAATCGACAAGGGGGGACACTTTTCTCATAACGCGTGTTGAATTTCTGGCAACTCTGAATAGTTTTAAGCCGCATATCCAATCAGTTCTCTTCGTCGGCTTTCGTCTCTTACACAGTGCGCTATAGGAGACCTCTTGTGCGATATTGAGGGGACTTAACCCACGTTAATGGTCGCAGATTGTGCCTATCGACAGTCAGAAGCGTGCTAGGGTGTCTTAAAATTAGAGTGGAATATTATGAAATATTGAAGAAGAATAGAAGATATATGAAGATAAACCAGAACACGTATCGTACTGTACTTTAAATTGAATAGAACTTCTATTTGTTTCATGCAAACAATTTAATATTTAATTTCCCTGGCAACTCTACAACTAAATGTGATGTGTCTTAACATAGTCCAAGCACTGATTGAATCACAATGTACTCGTACCAGTATTCGTCTTCGCACATCTTGTACGCTTCGCTCCACTCGACGATGACGGCGTGTTGCTTTTGATGTGAAAATGGGTCGGATCAAGTTTCAAATTCAATCAAAAACTGTCAACGCACTCAATGCAAAGCCAACGGGAACTTAACGGGGAAATCCACCGTTCAATGATACTTGCACTTGCTGACGTTTTAGTAGAATTGGAAACCATGACTAGCGAAACATTTTGCTTTACTTTTTGTTTTTTATTTATTTTTATTTGCAAACAAGCAAATGATGAGCTGATAAATATACAAATATACATATGTACATATAATAGCTATATATGTACGTATGTAATTTGAAAATAGTAAAAGTTCTGTAGTAAAATTTTTATTTGATTAGTTTGAGTTTTCCTTTCATGTAAAAAATTCATGGTTAAAATTAGGTCAAGTAAAAAGTTCGTTCGGTTTTTTTTTATTGATTTTTCAAAATATGATAACTTCGTGCACATTTGTCCGATTTAAGTCAAATATGCGCCGTTTTGTTCGTAAACTTGTTGTCAATGAGATGCCAACTTCATTATACCCCTGTCGTATAAGCCTGCGTCCCTATTGGCAAAAAGCTCGGAGATCCAATTTTCACAGGCCTCTCTTGAGGCCAACTTCTCACCATTAAGCGCATTCGCCATGGACAGGAAAAGATGGTAATCACTTGGTGGCAGGTCCGGACTATAAGGTGTGTGTATTAGGACCTTCCATCCGAGCTCCTGGAGCTTTTGGCGCTTTACCAAGCACGTGTGTGGCCTGGTGTTGTCTTCATAGAACAAAATTCGACCTCTGTTGATCAAAGATGGCTTCTTCTGGATGAGTGCTGCCTTCAAGCGGTCCATTTGTTGGCAGTAGAGGGCCGAATTGAGCGTTTGGCCCTAAGGGAGCAATTCGTAGTAGATGATTCCTTGCCAATCCCACCAAACTCAAAGCAAAACCTGATGCATCTTTGACATCGAAATTACCAGAACGGAACCTAGCAAATCACTTTTGTGCCACACGTTCGTTTACAGTATCGGGCCCATAAACTAAATTAATTTTTTCGGCCGCTTTGGCTGCTTTTTCGCCTTCATCGAAGAAAAATTGTAAAATTTAGCGAATTTTCTCTTTGCTGGTGTCCATCTTTGACGAGCGCTCACGACGTACTGAGTCAATCAATCGAAAAACTGTTAAAGACAAACTTTTAGCGCGAATAAACACGTTTTCAGCGCCGTATAGGATGACATGATGCGACACGTAACACTACTACTATGGACAATAAAGCCATCTCTTAGATAAAAACCGAACGAACTTTTTCCTTGACTCAATATATGTAAACATACATATCTACATATGGCACACACATATACATACTTATCAGTACTTGAAATGAGGGAATGTAAGCAAGCGTTCTATGCACTCTAATATCTATTGGAAGTGTGGTAAATGAAAAAATATAATTTTTTTGCTGTTTTTACTTTCACGTGTAATAAAATCAAATCGGGAGAGAAATGAATCACAATTAACTAAATTAATCGCAAAGGATATCCCATATTCGTACTCGCATTTTTTATCATAAAAACTATTCATTGAATTATCTTAAACAATTTTTGTTGAGTGCCCGTGAGAGTAAATTCAAATCTTATCAGTCAATCGAAGCATCAGTAACGTTACTTTCATCATGTGGAGCATCTTCTTCTTCACTGGCATAGACACTACTTAGTCAACAACGGTACGCCCTTCGTTCATTCTCCCCACTGTTTTACGCTCATTAAAAATATCAGGTGTAGCCAAGTCCTTCTCAACCTGATCTTTCCAACGGAGAAAGGGGGTGCCTCTTTCTTTGCTTCCACCGGCAGGTACTGCATAGAAAGCTTTTAAAGCTGTAGAATTATCACACCAATAAGAAATCAAACCGTCTGAAACCTCGTTTGGTATTGAACGACTCGGAGCGGTCCTTCCCGATCTTGACGGTGCTTTTATGGTTGCTTAATGTTAGTTTAAATAGCGGTATGAAATATGTGGAGTTCAGACATAGCGGCGTAAAGGCTGTTCCTGTTCGTGATGTCGAAGACTGCTATAAAATCGACGAAGAGACGGTGTGTGTCGCTGTTCTTTTCATGGGTCTTTTCGCGTGATGAATATTTGGTCAAGGGTAGATTTACTTCGCGGCCGCGTTGGTCGAGTGGATAGTATTGCGTACTGCCATTCAGAATGCTCGGGTTCAAATCCCGGTGCCAGCAACATGAAAAAGTTATAGAAAAAGAATTTAAATAAAAAAATTAAATAAAATTTTCTAATTGCTGTCGATCCTCGGCAAGGAATGTTCACCCCTCAGAGTGCATTTCGGGCATTTTGTAAAGGCTCCTCATAAAAAGCTATCAGCCCTTCGGAGGCGCCTTAGTATAAACTGTAGCTCCCTCCATTCTATTTGGAAAAACATCAAGACGCAAAACCACAAATTGGAGAAGGAGCTCGACGGAAAATCGCTTCAGCGGTTACAAAGCGCCAATTATATAATATATATAAAGTCACACTGATAAGGACCGACTAAGTTTGCCACGGAGGCTTTTTAGTCTTTCACACAATACGATTATTGTCGCAGACCGTGCGGTCTTTTTTTTATGGATTGATCAGAGCTCACTAAGGTTCCAATCGTTGAATATGCTTTCGTCCGACCGAATTCTGCAAAGAAGCCGATGTTTGTAAATAGTTTGACAACTCATCACCGTCATGTTTAAGTAGTTCAGCAGGTTATCTTCAGTTTGTTGTTGTTGTTTTTTAAACATACTACCGCTATTCAAACCTAACCATAGTTGGATCGGGTTTCCATCTTCTGATGTTCCATTTTCACAGTCATGCAGAATTTTGCTGCTTTTCAAGCTTCTCTTCATACTCACGCATTTCGGCCTATTTTTGGTCTTCAAATACACCTTGCTTCGCTCTTTAGCTCTCCGTATCTCTCCTACCCCGCACATGTAGTGGCCGATTGCAGCGTTGCCAGGTTTTTTTTCTGGCACAACCGAAAAGCAATTGTTTCCATAGCACCGGTACATAGGAAATCAAACCTTCGCTGCGACAAGGTCCGCACATTGTTCTGAGCTTTTCGATGTGCAGACAGCCATGTAGCTTGGTAAATTTTCTTGTGCTGGAATCTAGTACTACACAGACAACCATATTTCGGGTCCCGGCGAGGTCGATCAGCCTCAACACACTCGAGGTAAGTGCTCCTCATAAGTTTCCAACTTTTGTCCCGAGATATTTACTTTGCCCATGGTGGGTGCAGTGGTCAAAAGTGTGCCACAGGCGGTCATAAAAGCCGTTCTTCTTTCACTTTCACCTGCCGCATCAGGAACAAAGAAAAAAAGTTCTTACACATTTTTATTTGTATATAAAATAATAGATCACAAAGCAAAGTTTTTTGAATGAATCTCTATTAAACTCTCTTCTTTATACACTCTCGTTCGCAGCGTGTCCAATATGTGGATGACACTTTAGGTAACAGATGAGCGCTTGCAAACGAGCGAAACACAATGACAATGGATGGCGAACCGATGTCATTCACCAGTCTGGCGCTGCTGCTGCTACTGGCGATAGCATTCATTATGTTTGCCTGTCATTGTTTGGGACCACGCGCCAACACATGGATGCGTTCGAATAAGGAAGAGAAGATTGGATTATCGAAGAACAAACTTTTTCATGCGAATGGATATATGGTGAGTTCAAGTGGTGATGCTTAAACAAGTGCAAGTGACATTCCATTAAAGCCTTCCATTCTCACTACCTTACAGATTCATTCGGGCTCGGAGTTTTTACTCAGTAATAGCGGTAGCTTTAAACGTTTTGATACTATCGATAAGGACGACTACCGACAGTCAGGTCAACAGCCAACACAACACGCCACCACCCCACTGTGGAATCTCGCTGGCGAGGCGGAAGTTGACTCGAATATACCGCCACAACCTTTGCGCCCAGCACCAGCACCGGGTACACAGACGCCCGCCAGTGCCGGTCACATAAAGACCGTAACTTTTTCATTTCAGCAAATCAATGAGACCGCTCCTAATCACGAGGAGAACTCGCGTGGACGTTGCAATAGCGCATCAACAACAACAACACCGTTCAAGCGTTCGTCTATGAAGGGCTCGAATGTGACCATACCGAAACCGTTGGATGCACCACCACCGCCACGGTTGTCGGCTTCGTCGTCAGCGTTGAGTGCCAGCGCCATTCCACGTCCAGTGGCCAAGCGACAGGTGTCACTGCAAAATGTGGGCAACGGTACGGCGGCTGTTGTGGGTGGACAGCGGGAAACAATCACAATTGCAACAACAATACAGGAAACAGAAGCTTTATCCACAACAACAACAACAACAACAAACACAAATGGTCAACACAGTCACCCGAAGACGTTGACGCGTCGCAATTCCAGCACAAATCCATTTCTATGTGAATCCGCTGACAACTTAACGGAATCAAGCACTGCCTTGCAACAACAACAACCACTACAACTACAACATGAACCAATGGAATTACAGCAAGCTCATCAACAACAACACACAATGGCCAATGGATATGCTAGCAATGAGTCCGTGAACTCTACGCCTACCACACCGCCAGCAATAACAACAAACACAAATGGCTCATGTAATCCCTTCTACAACAACGAACCGCCTCAAGTAACAGAGGGTTTAACAGTTAACTCCAACTCGCATACCAACACCACACCAACATCATTAAACGCCAAATCACTACAACAACAATTTCAAGAGTTTCGCAATCGCTCCCTTTCCACTGCGGAAGCGTCAACCGAAGACGCCGAGCTGAAGTCGCTCTCAAGTGGTCTCCGACGGCTGGCACAGAACTCAACAAATCCTTTCACCGGCTTAACGCAACGAGTACAAAAAGGTCCACACATGTTACAGAAAACCATCTCCGAAGACTTCCTCTTCCGCAAGCTGGGCGTTAGCACAAACGGCGCACAAGGCGCACATCATGGCACACAGAGCGCGGGTGTCGGTGGTAATACCACTTGGACCTTTGGCCGTTCGCTGCTGCGTCAAGACTCGCTAATGAGCCTTGGACGACGAAATAGTTCGCAATGTTCACTCGATTCCACGGCTGGTGGTTCAATGGAGGGCATTAATTTAGAGCGAGCTATCTCTTGTGACTCGGTGAACTCGGACACCTCTTCGGTGTTTGTGGGCGAATTAGATCAGCCATATACACAGATAACGGGATATCTATGTGTTGGTTTGCAATATGAAAAGTGAGTATGAGGAAGGTGGAAGGTGGAAGGAGCGATTAGAGTGGTGCAAGCAACAAAGTGAAAGTACAAATGTGTTTACCGTTATATACATATATCATACATAAACAAGGTATCTTATTGTGGTGTTTAGAGCTGTGTGCAATGGGCAAATGTTAGTGCACTTCAGTAAGCCGCAGTAGGATGCTTTCAACAAGCTCACATATACACACACATACACACAAACTTGCACACGACCATTTCCATATGCACTTCCACAAATAAGCCAGTGCATATGGACATTTGAAAAAGGCAAGCTTTTGTTTTCCGTTGCCTTCTACCCCTTGAGCCCATCCTATCCATGGGTGGTTGGGTTGAGCTGGTCATGGCACTTATGTTTTATGTGCTAACAACCTTTCAAGTGTGCAATGTGCATTCACCCGTATCCTCTGATGCATTATTTTTCTTTTGCAACTGTTTTACACGTTTGTTGTTGTTGTTTGTAGTCTATTTTGTTTCTATGTTTTAATGGCTTCGCCGTTGTTGTTGCTTTATTTGTATCATAACCATATCCAACTTGTGTACATAGAGATGAGCGCATATATGCGTTCGGTATGCTCGGCCGGAAAATTTTCAGCTGAAAGCTGATAAGCCGACGAGAAGAGATATATGTTCCAGCGCACCGACCATCTTAGGTTCGAAGCACACAAATTGTATTAAGAATGAGAAAATTCAAGACTCCGCTAGGAATTAGGTAGACAGAGACCGTTAGATTTGAGTATGTCTCATTGCCGCACCCCGATATTACCCAGACCACCCTCGATTTCTTTGTCCACCAACCTCGATTATGTTCGAAACTTTTTCGGGTTGTTTACTTTGATGTATGTTACATAGTCATGTTGCTCTGTCCAGAGTCCAGAGCAGGGCAGAGAAGAGGCCGTCTTATAGCTTCTGTAGCATCTAGAAGAAATAATCACCAGCTTATTTTCCAGTTCGTTTTATCGGGTTATCAGGTTTGGCATCTCATCTTTCGATGCCATTGCAGCAAAGTGTGTCTCGATTCAGCTTAGAGGGTACTTATTTATTAATATAATTTATTAGCAAATGATCTCATAGTTCCCGCGTGGTCAAGAACATATAGGTATGTAATCCTAAGTATAGCACCCTCTTTCCTATGCAAAGTACATGTTAAAATCACCTTCATCAGTAGGGCCATTAGCAGACAGGTTTGGGCGAACCTCCAATGGCATAACAACCAAAGTAATTACTGGACTCTTTTTGATGGGGACTTCTGACCCAGCTGCAGAGATATAGACAAAGAGGAGTAGGTAGTTTCATGTTAAAACTCCACCACCCACTCATCTATGATGGTAAGCTCCATTCCTACTTAAACACTAGCAAGTATACATGTTTTCAATATATTATTTATTACCTGTTATCGCGTCATGAAAGTATTTGAGTTAGCGAAGAATTTAAAATTAGATTGACTCTAGTGTCCTGTGTGTCCTGGAATCGTAATGAGTCGAACTCGACTCTCTTCCCCCACCTTATTTAGTTTCCAGACATATTTGCATACCAAGAATTATTTGATCATGCATAATGAGATCGCCATCAATGCAGTTTGGCTATCACTGGAAATTACTATGAGTTGATTACTCGTTCTCCTTGTAAATATTGTTTCTGCACATGAAGAGATGGCGAATACTTCTGGTATTGTTAACCTGGTTGAGGGTCCGGCAATTCCACAACTAATTCGATTGGTTTGTGTTAGAATATTTATGAAGAGATTTTAATTTTCATGTCAAAAATACACTCGGAGGGGCTGACATTCCCTGACGGACGAACGAAATGTCAATGAACCTCATAAAAAAACAAGATGAGTTATTTATACTGGTAACGAGTCCTTCAATTAGTATTATGAGTAACTAGATGATGTGTCACCCTCAACGATCTTATGTGGTCCCATTATCAGTCGTCCCTCGTATATGCCCGTAGCTATAGTTACTTTATACTCTCTAGCCATTGCTTTTAGTTTTTCTCTGTCTAACATCACGTTAAATATTAATTAAGCTGACATTACTATCACTTCACACTGTTTTTTTTTTTCTTTTTTACACACAAACATATATAGAGTTATTTTATATTTTATGCATTTAGAGTTGAACATACGTGTATGTACATACTTACATATAAACGGGGTTCAACATTTAGTAGTACTTTGTAGAGAATATTCGTATACACATTAATACATACTTTGCACATACCTACATATGTACAAATATATTTCACAGAAATTCCATTACCGACGAGGGAATGGAGCTCTCTGTTATGGTGCTAGAGGCAAAGGGGCTAATTTGTCCTTTTAACGTCGAGTCGTTAGACACTTTTGTGCGCATTTATCTTGTACCAGACGAGGCAGCTGCAATGCAGACGAAGGTGAGTGCTGGTTGCATGGTTGTTATTGTTGCTACGTTTATTTTTGTTAAAGAGAGTAGCATTTAAGCTGTTTGAGCGATTACATGCTACAACTTACACAAAGGGAATATGCAAAGTGAATATTACAAAAGAAAAAAATTTAATAATAATAATAAATGGACTAAAAAAAATCTGTTGTCTCCTTATGCAAAATGACGAGAGAATTTGGGTCGCAAAAAAAGACGATTGTTGGTCGTCAAATTAGATTACACGCACTGACTGGTGCATTTTACTAAGACCATTGATCCTTCGTACTGCCGGATGGAGGTTTAATTTAGTGCAAGGTGAAGTGGTCCTCACGCAGAGTGTCAATGCTTTTTTGCAAAATTTAAAAGGGCCTTTGAATAGCTAATTCCCCGATGTCTAAGACCGCATAGAAGCAGTGCGGGCGTTCCAATTACTCACCAAGGCTGCCTCCCCACACTTCCTGCCATTGTCTAGTCTACTAATAAACCCCATTCAACTCGCGTCCAATGGAACGCCAGTCAAGACTGCCCACCTTCGCTAACTTTTGGTCCCAGGTTTCCCGACAAATAATACGTAAATGTTGTTTTAACAATTTGCTTTATTCTCTTGGACGGATTAGCTTAGGTGATAGTGAACCGAAGTTGGGTGTCATAGTCACCGCAGAGGCACCGAAGTTTTTGAGTCTTAAATCAGTGTCCATTATAACACAGCAATGATTGAGGAACTTCAAACAAAGGAAATGCATTGTCCTACATACCCATGCGCATTTTTGCCGCGGTATTAAGTAAAGGAAATGGAAGGGAGAATGTGAAATAATAATCGAGCACCGTCGCCGTAAACAGAGTGAAATGTCAACCTAACAAGCTTGTAAGCGTTACATCTTCTTTTTTCCACCCTGGATACGGCAAAGGCCGAAACATCCTTGCCAACCAAGGGTCGATTAGCTCCTTCAGAAATAACTGGCACAATACGGGACAACATGTCTAAAACGCATGTTCCTTGCCTTTCGGGTGCACTATAACAAAGTCGCACTGCTGGACCTTCAAGGCACATCTTGCTAATCTACCAGATAATAATATCCGAAACAGTCCGGTTTATATCAAAATGACCTGGATTTATATACAGGGAAAGAGTAGGGCATATTTTTGCTGTTACAACAATAACAACATAAGATCTGCGTAATTTTGTCAGAGTCTAGGATTGCTGATGACCTTTTCATGCACCGCAAGAATTCTCGCTCAAGACTTCTCGTCCTCTTTCATATCCTTACTTTCGTGTTTTAATCTGATGCAAGACAAAAGAATATTTTCTGCCGCGAGAAAAGCAATCAGCCGTTGTAGGAGGTATCCTGCTGGGGGTTACAAAAGGAAACCTTGATCATGTCGTCATATCTACCGTGTTCGCGTTGTCATCATCAAAAATTTTACATTGCACCCATAATACGTAGATAATAAATACTTGCGAACGTCAGGTCTTAACAGCGTACACTCTTTCCTATCAAAAAGCAGAATCAATTTTTTTCAGATCTGCAGGGCCATGTTGTTCAAGCACTAAAAATGAGGGAAACAAGATACCCCCTGCGGGTTAGGGGCTCAAGAATTTACCCGCGGTAAGGCATGCCTGTCGTAAGAGGCGACTAAAATCCAATAGTTCCCGCGACAGTCGGGTCTTTATACCGGAACGACCCGGATTTTATCCGGCCAAGGACTGTCACTCCCGCAACATTCCCCAAAAAGTACTTTGAGGAATAATTTTGCGGTTACAACAACAACAGGGAAACAAGATTTTGGGATACGTTTGGAGGCAGCTCTGGGTTAAGACTATTATGATTCAATTAAATAGGTGTTAAAATCCTTAACTGATGATTCTCTTCAATGACCAAAATGGACATCGCCAAAAAGCTGACAAAACAGTGATACCGTTTACTCGACGTGGCTTAGAGAGTGGACTTAGTGAAATCTATCAGTCAGTAGCTTTTACTATTTTGTCATACAAATTGTGACGGCACAGACATTTTTGGTCTTTTAAGCCTTTCTTAGGTTACAGTCTCTTAATTGTTATTTACCTTTTCTCATCATTGCAGGTATTCAAAGACTCCATTACGCCTTGCTACAATGAAACATTTAATTTTTGGCTAAAAAAGCAACATGGTCGCCACTCACTTTGGTTCCATTTGTATCACAATGGCGACGCACATACGCTGATCGGTGAAGCCGAAATGGAAATCGGCGAAATGCCACGATCCGTCACCACATGGATACCGCTAACGGATTCGCGCAAATGCAATGCACAATGGGGTGAACTGATGTTCTCGTTGAGCTATTTGCCGACAGCCGAACGCCTTACGATTGTTGTAGTGAAAGCAAGAAATTTAAAAATGGAAATAAAAGAGAATAATAGTAATAAGACAGCGACGTCACAGCAGGTGCAAAGCGTTTTCGTGAAGGTTAGTAGTGTGAGGACGATTTCAGTGTGGTGTGAATAATATAATGAAACTTCTCTTCCTCTTTTGCTTTTTATTGCAGGTCTACCTGATGCACAACGAGAAGAAAGTGCTGAAAAAGCGAACCTCACTCAAACGTCAGGAGCGCGCACCCATCTTTAATGAGTCAATGATCTTTAGTGTGCCACCAGCAAGCCTAACAACCGTACAACTACGTCTCACTGTTTTCGGTGTGACCGAAGCTGAGGATGGTACGCCGCGTATAACTGCCATCGGCCATGTGATAGCCGGCGCCTGTGCAACCGGTAAGGGTTTACGGCATTGGCATCAAATGCTCTCCTCGCTGCGCAAGCCGGTGGCTATGTGGCATGTATTACGTCGCGCTTCCTATCAGCCAATCTTTACCGGTGGCGCCGAGGCGGTGGTGGCCGCCATGCAAAGCACAGCTTTACGTGCCAAGCGCAACAGTATTATTTAAATGAAGAATGATGGCCGTAGGAGTGAGGAGTTACATCTTTTCTTTTTCGATTTAAAAATTCGGTTGTAAGTAGACACGCCGCCGCCTCCCTTTTTTATGTGGCGTTTGTGGAGTTTATTTCGAGATCTCTGTGAAACGCGTTGCCACTTTGCGACACTAATCTAACTTAGAATCACGAAAACCAACCGGAATTTATGCCCGCATATTATCTACTCTCGCACATATTAACCAATCAAACTGGTTGTTGCCCTTTGCATACTCTTTGGCATTTAACCCAGAATAAGACTTGTAATTCAGTATTTTGTATTATGTATTTTAATTTTTACTTTTATACTTCAAGAAAAATCCAATTGATATTCAAAGACTTGCCTATTTATTGTCAAAAGTCTATATGCAAATATCTACTCTTCCCCTCCCATTTTCTATATATAATATATATATATATATATCTCGCTCTCTATCTCGCTCTCATTCATTCACTTATACTCAGTATTTAATATATGATATTATAATATTAGAAACAATAACAACGCACGTGGTTTTCCGCACAATATTCCTACTAACTATTCAAAAGTACAGCACTCTACCAAAGTACATATGTACATACGTACGTACATATATACATATATACTCGTATAATCATATTTACCTACTACTAAAACTATCACTCCTAGTCCAAAAAGAAATGCAACTTTTACCTTTAAATCGTGGATCGTGAAGAAAAAAAAGGCATTAGAAAAAGAAAGAAAATAAAAAAAAATTTAAAATAATATATATTACATTGTATTTACATTTATACATACATATATACATAAATATATTTGTAGCAAATGCACTCGGGTTTGTAGCTAAAAGTTATGAATATGAAAAAAAGGAAGAAAAAATATATCAGATAAAAATACTAAAGTATTAATACAAACATATATTGTATATTATAAATGTATACACATACATACATACATACTGCAAATATGTAAATGTGGCTAAATAATCGTTAAAAACAAATATTTAATACAAATGATAGCGAATATACATACATACATATTTATTACACTGTGTGACAGCAAAGAAAAAATTGTAAAAATTAATAGACTCTCTGGGGAGAGGAGATTAATGGAGTATTGTTGAGAGAAATCGCGTTGAAAAATTGAGGGTAAAATTATATACTTTTTTTATTCAAAGTGCATTTAAATTTTTTTATATATGTCTTTTGCTTAAGCATTGCCTCTTGTGTTGTTTTGCATTAACCGTGAATTTTTGAATTGATGATTTTTTCCGAATGTCTTCTGATTTTTTTTGCGAATCTTAATGGTCTTTCTAAACAGCCGAAAAGCACGAAAGAAGATCTACAAAGTGCATTCCAAAGTAAACAGGGCTTTAAAAAAAATAAACAGAACAAATAGTTTTATCGGCAAAATCGATTAATTTTATTCAAAAAAGTCTCCTTCTGCTTTAAAATAGCTTTTTTCACGGTCCAAAAGCATGTAGAACGAGTGATTTAGCTCGATGCCCGGTATGGTCGCCAGTATGCCGATGCAAGCCTTTTGAATGGCCTCCGCGTCAATGTTCGGTCAAAACTCGATAAATCGATGTTTTGGAGATGTTCAATTCTATTTCCATGAATTTCAATGATGATTTCCGGTGATTTTTTATAAATTCACCCACAGTTTCGATAAAATTTTTGTTGATCACGGATTTTGGTTGGTCCACATGTTCATCGTCATTTATGTCCTCACGATCACTTTAAAAACGTTGAAACCACTCGTGCACTCTGCTACGGGATAGGCAATCATCGCCATGAACTTGTTTCATCAATTGAAATGTTTCGGTATAGGTTTTACCAATTTTAAAGAAAAATTTATTGTTGGCTCTTTGTTCGAAACCCATTTTCGAACATACTGACACTTAAAACGCAATAACTTCACTTCCAATAGATTTAATTTTATGAAATTTTTACTGGTAGTCGATAAAGGATAGCAGATTCTATACATATACATATAGATGTCGCGCTACCAGAGGGCGCTATATATTTAATTATAGCAGTCAAAAGGTGGATTCTCAAGCCGAATATTGCAAACTGAATTTATCCAATGGTAAATAAAACAATACTGTTCTGAGGCGGCTCCGTGTGGTGCCCGATACTCGGAAAAAATAATTTTAGAAGCAAAAGAAAGGGTTTACGGTCGGCAGCTATCGTCATAATAGGCACTCTACCATTGACCATTGCAGCAGCAACTTCTAGCCGAACGCTTTTTGTCTTTCTTAAAGCCGCTGAATAGCTCAGAGAGTTTTTCGGTGGCCACGCCAATAACCAAAATAGCTTCAAACTCAATGACCAGAGCTCTGTACTCCAATTGCAGGCATTACTGAAGGTACCTAATATATATAATCGATATATGTTTGAGGCTTTATAGCCGCGGCAGTGATTTTCGGCCGAGCTCCTCCTACTTGCGGTTTTGCATCTTGATGTTTTTTTCCCAACAAATGAAAGGAGCAGTTTATTCTGCCTCCGAATGGCTGATGGTTTTATTTTTTATGAGGAGCCTTTATTTTATATCATAAATACACTCGTAGAGGTTGATATTCCTTGCCAAAGAGGCAACCACTTTAACGAGAAAATCTAACAGGTTTCTGGCAGACAAAGTCCAAATGTGTTAGAAAACACAAAGAGAATCGCATTACGAGTGCCCGGAACCCGCCGATTGAGACGTCACATCTTTCACGATACTCACTTATCATGTTTACTGAGCGCTCAGTTCGCTGGACGCACCCAGTGTCTACTCTTAACGAGTATTCGTAATACAATTTAATCTGTCACACAGTGTTCTTGTTAACGACAGTCAAGGGGAAAAAATTGTTACTTGATATAATTCCTCAAAGGGAGTTACATACAATATTCATTTGAAAAATATAATAATTATTTTTATGTATATAAATTGTTGAACAAATACTAAAAAAAAATAGACAAATGATAAACAAAACCAAAACTCTTGGCAATCAAAGAAAAACATATACATATGTATATATGCGACTAAAAATATTTGAATAAATTACTATAGCCCCGTTATTTAAAAATGAAAAGGAAATCAAAGCTTTCAAGTTACAAAAAGGTAATATTAAAAAACAAACACATCTAAGTAAACAATTTCCACAATTCCTACTCAACTACATTTACATACATATATGCCTGTTTACATAAATACCCATACATCAGACAAGTGGTTTTCAAGAAGAATTAAAACGCATATTAGCTTTATTATAAAGATGAGGGTTTGCATATTTTCTCCCAGGACATCAATCGCCTCGGGCATATTTGCCTGGACATGCGACTTGTTTCTTCTTTTTGCTGTTTTGCGCCAATTGGAAATACCAAGTACTTCGAAGTCCTTTTCTACCTGATTTTTCCAGATTTTTCCAACGGAGTGGAGGCCTTCCTTTTCCTCTGCTTCTACCGGCGGGTACTGCATCGAAAAATTTCAGAGCTGTAGCATTCGCATCCATTCGGACCACATGACCTAGCCAGCGTAGCCGCTGTTTCTTGATTCGCTGAACTTTGTCAATGTCGCTGTATATCTCAACAGCTCATCGTTCCATCGTCTGCGATTTTCGCCGTTGTCAATGCGCAAAGGACCATAAATTTAACGCAAAACCTTTTTCTCGCAAACTCCTAGCGCCGACTCATCTGATGTTGTCATCGTCCATGCTTCTGCAACCTATGGCAGGACGGAAACGATGATGGACTAGTAGAGCTTGGTTTTCGTTCGTCGAGAGGGGACTTTACTTCTCAGTTGCCTACTCAGTCCAAAGTAGCACCTGTTGGCAAGAGTGACTCTGTGCTGGATTTCAAGGCTGACGTTATTATTGTTATGACTGTGACGTGGGAGCCGAGTCGCAAATGCGATGACCGTTTGTTTGATGACAGGAGATATTTCGTCTTGTCCACGTTCAGTATCAGATCCAATTTCCTTCACTTCTTTATCAAGCCGTGAGAAAGTAAAACTAACGGCGCGGTTGCTAAGGACGATAATGTCAATGTTGAATGGTTGGTCACTCTTATAAAAGATTGTACCTTCTCTATTCAGCTCCACAGCTCTTATTATTCTCTCCAGCATCAAATTGAAGAAATCACACGACGAAGAGTCACCCTGTCTGAAATCTCGTTTGGCCAATTCTGACTGCGCTTCTGGTGCTGTCTAGCGTCAAGGCAGCTCCTAGTCGTGATGTCGAAGGCAGCTTCAAAATCGACGAAGAGGTGATTGGTGCTGATCCTCTTTTCACAGGTATTTTCCAAGATTTGGCGCATGCTGAAAGTCTGATCAATGGTTGGCTTACCAGGTCTGAAGCCACACTGGTAAGAGCCAATCAGTTTATTGGCGGTGGGCTTCAGTCTTTCACACAATACGATCGACAAGGCTTATCCCACATTGATTGGCGTAGACTGTGGGGTCCCCTTTTTTATGGATTGGGCAGAGCACACTTAAACTCCAATCAGCGAGCATGCTTTCGTCCGACAATATTCAATTGCAAAGTACTTCCATGTTGGAATAGTACTGTCGGTAGACCGACAGCTCCCGCCGCTTTGTTGTTTTTTTAAGCGAGCGAGTGCTATTCGAACTTCTTCATGATCAGATAATGGAACGTCTTTTCCATTGTCATCGATTGGGGTTTGTGGTTCACCATCTCCGGATTCTCCATTTTCACTACTATTCTGCAGGTTGTAGAAGTGTTCTCTCCATAAATTCAATATACTCTGGGCAGCGGTGATGGCTAGATCACCTCTTTGTGCCCTACATAGCATAAAGCTAGCGCCTACTACAATGAAACTTTAAAAAAAAGAGGGGGAATGTAAGGCATGTGCGCGGTCTTGTTGGAACTACAATTCGTCCACATCAAAATACGCCAATTGCGGCGCGAAAAGTCATTAATAATGATTCTACAGCGTTCCCATTGACTGTAACATTACGACCGTTTTAAGTTTAGAAGAAATAGGGATTAATGATGCCCTCTGACCATAGTGACTTTTTAAGGATGTTACGAAGTCTCCACAAAGGCTTTTGGAACATCAAACGTGAGTATTTTGATATCCATTGAACCAAAGTGAGTTTCACTCCTGAGCAAAATTTTGTCGTAAAATTCGGAATTGAATATAAATAAATACTGTCAAAAAAACCAAAAAAATATTGCTTAATTGAAAACCACACGTCTAAAGAACACCCTTTACATACATAAAACTACATGAAGCCAAACATTTCGGCTTAATTATGTACTTTAATTCTTTTAATTCCGAAAAACATAAACAAAAAATATTTTTAGTTAAATCAGTTAATTTTTAAAATTAAAAAAAAATAATTTGCTTATTAAATAAAACATTAAAAATAAAAAAAAAAACTTTGATTTTCCTTTTATACAAATAATTTGTTTTTTCAACAATTCAAAAAAAAAATAAGACACGATCTCATCTAAAATGGACAATAAAATTCATTTCCGGCGCCACCAACATTGAAAATTCGAACGAAAATCGAAACTAGAAATCTCAGAACCACCAAAAATCAATATTCAAACCCATTTCACCATATGTACAGTGGCACAAATAGCAAGAAAAAAATGGAAAAATATATATCTAAATGTAAAATTGCACTTGAATACCGCGCACAAAGAGAATTTTGAAAACCATAGAAAAATTATAATGAAATATTGCCCCAACCACTTGATACTACTACTATCTACTACAATATACTACTATCTGCTACTAAGTAGAGTAGAAGACTCAATACAAATCAAAATACTTCAAGTCCGAAAATATTGTCTTCAAATTTACTTCCATGTGACAGTTTTTCCGAATTCGTATTCGTTTCTAATTAAATAATAGCAATAGAAGAATATTGTAACAAAAATATAATTACGATCGCGTGAATGTTTATTAAAGTTTGTACTAGATTTTTATGAACTGTTGTTAAGTGATGGATATTATGTATATTTAAAATAGTTGAAATGAAATCTATATTAGCGTTGTTTAGTTTATAAACAGAAAGAAAAATGAAGACATTTTCATATTTAAATTTAAAGGATAATAATAATGTGTGGCATTATATTGAGAAATTGTTGATTAAATTGATATATATACATACATACATACATACATAAATACATACAGATAAACTAAAAGATGTTTTGCTTTTTTTATTATATCAAAGATATCTTGTAGTTTTAGGCACTGATCATATAATCAGAAAACAGGTAATCTACATACGACATACACGGTGTGTCCCAAAAATAACCGAACTTTATATTTAAATCATACAACATACAGCGCCTCTTTCAAACGCACCTAACATCATGTATGTCGGATGACAGATGTAAAATTGACAGCCATTTCAATAAAACCAAAAGTGTGCTAATGGTTCAAAAAACAAAAGGGAACAAAGAGCAAATATAAAATTTTGTGTCAAACTTGAAAAAATTTAATGAAAAAAGTTTATTGTGATGATTGTATGAGTCGTACGCAAGTTTATACGTGGTTTACACGATTTAAAAATGGTCGTGAGGATTTAAATGACGATCCTAGGGCAGGACGTGCAGAAACTAATAATCGTGCTGAACTGGTGGAAAAAGTCCGTGAAATCATTGGTATCGATGCAAATTTTGTTACGATAATGTTGGCTGAGGAATTGAATACGAGTAAAAACACTATTTGGAGAATTTTAACTGAAGATTTGGGGAAAAGAAAGGTCTGTGCGCGATAATGAAAAAAGGGATTTGTCTCATCGACCATCCTCCGTATTCGCCTGATCTATCACCATGTGACTATTTTTTATTTCCAAAACTGAAAACCAAGATGAAGGGAGATTTTATGATGATATCCCAGCCATTCAAACAGCCGTAACCGAGGTACTGAAGAACATTTCTATAAATGACATAAAAAAATCTATGCATGCGCTGGTTGATCGTTCCAAACGTTGTGTTGAGTCAAATGGAACCTATTTTGAATAAATAATAACTTTCAAAGATAATATAATGTGTATATTATTTTATATCCAAAAAGTTCAGTTATTTTTGGGACACACCGTGTATGGCTGCATACAAAGCAAATGATTTTCGAGATGGTCAAAAAAAGAGCTGGTACGACGAGAATCGCCGTGATGAAATACAGAGAGGAAAGTTCGTCTCGTTCATAATGTTGCGGTCGTTCGGAATGCGAACGGCATAGAGAAGGCAACGAGATTCGAAGAGAGGAAGCGAATTGCATTTGCAGACAGAACAAGAGAGAGAAAAGCTGCCTTCGGATATGCCGAAAAAGTCTACCTTCGTGGATATAGTCAAATTTTGACTTGGAGGAAATTGGCAAAGATATGTAACCGGTTTATACTAAGCCACCTGCGAACGGCGGTTGGTTTTTTATAAGCACCCATTATTTCATGTCAGAAGTACACTTGGGGGGGATTGACATTCCCTGCCGAGGGGCGACAGTAATTATGATATAGTCCGTCGATTTCGATGATTTTCGGTGACAACGTTTATTTGGGTATGTAGAATGCCAAAATTCCATGCTCTTTTATGTTTTTTTTAACACAACCTCGTATCTACACAAATTGGATGTATTTTAGCTGTAGTGGTCGGTTTTAAACGAAAAAGTACATGTTGTGTAGTAGAAATATCTCAAAAACTGAGCTACTAATTTATATAAACTTTGATGGGTCAATCTCCTATCTTTCTAGTGTGTATGAAGTACTGAAAGAGACTTTCAACCTCAAAAATTCGATGAAAATTTGGTAACGTCTTTTAGTAAAGCTCAATACCGGAGCTACCTTGTCTAAAAGTAAGCCTTGGGTACTAGTGCTTGATTTTCAGCGTGTCTTGAGTTTATTGAGAGAACTCTCCTCCAGCCTACTTAACTGCAGTGAAAATAAAACACACAGGAGATGGCGAACCCAAAACACCAATAAATAATTATGGTAGAGACGTTCCGTGAGAAAAGGTTCGACACACATGAGCTCTATGTCGATTTTTCCTATCTTTAAATAGCCACATATATATGTAATGGCGCTTTGTAACCACTGAAGCGATTTTCGACCGAGCTCCTCCTCTTATTTGTGGTTTTGCATCTTGATGTTTTTCTAACAAAGCCGCCTTCGAACGGCTGATGGTTTTTTTTATAAAGAGCATTTATTTCATATCAGAAATACACTCGGAGGGGTTGACTTTCGCTGACGAGGGGCTTCTCCAATTAGAAAATTCAACTTAATTTTTTTATTTATATTAACAAGCAAGAAAATATGATGTCTTTATGCCGCTATGCCTCAATCTGAAATCCTAGCAAACTGATTCTGGTCTGCAACATCAAAAGCTGCATCAGAAGCAGGAAGGTCCTCACTGAGTCGTTCTGTATCAAAGGAGTTTCAGACAAGGTGACTTCCTTTCATGGGATTTTAATACGTTCCTGGGGAAAATAGTAAGAGCTTGTCAACATGTCCTACCTCGAACAAGAAAAAAGTAAAATCTTCTGTCAACAAATTAAGGCCAAATTCTACAAGTCCCTCGTAATTTCTGTCCTACTTTATGACACAAAAGCGTGGACATTGATAGCATCCGAAGAAACGGTTGCGCGAGTTTTTGTGGTTCTCGCATGTGAACGTGTTCAATTCCGTACGCCTCGAGAGAAAATTTTGCTAAAACCAAGTCAATCCGAAATACAAGGCATAGGCGGTCTAGCTGGTTCACGCTAGCGAAGCTGTCTATCGACTGCCTCAGACCTTTCAAGTGATCCATTTGTGGTGCCCATCTTAATGTTTTTCCAAGAAATAGAGAGACCGAACGATCGTTGGGCTTTTGCGATGACCCTTTTATTTCATGTAAGAATACACACGGAGGGCTTAACATTTCCTGCTAAGGCTCGACCGTATTAAAAAAAATATGTTTGTATAATTTTGGATGTTGATCGGACTTTAGGTCTTGCGGTTGGTTATTGCCGCCGCAGTACTTTTCGCTAAAAATTTCCATAAACTCGTACAATACCATCACTTTAGAACTTCGTATAAAAACAACAAAATGATATTCTCAATTTGACATGCAATTTGTAACAATCACAACGCCAACACACTTATCAGCATATGGACAATTATTAATTTCACTTTACCAAACGCAAAACTCAGTTGTTATTCACGTATCATCTATTGGTGCCTGCAACAAAAATCCCTGCAACGGAAAGCACTTGAACACGCGTCTTACCGTCTGGGCTGACGCTACATCACGTACCTATCTCTAAACGCAGGGCTTGACTCTGATTGGTGGGAAAACTTGCGGTACAGATCAGTGATCGCAGCCAATGGGAGCGAGCCGACAACTAATCGCGCTGTAGTAGTTCGCGGCTGTGTCGTGCGAGTAAAGGAAAGTACTTGTTGTTTCAATAAGTGAAAAATAAATTTCAAAAAAAAAAAAAAAAAAGAATGGAAAGAGGAAAAATACAATTTTCTAATTACGGGCGTTTTAGATTTTGTTACTTTTTACTTTGGCGCTTGCCACATGTCGATTTAGGTGTGTATACCCATCCAAGTGTTTGCGCGACTGTGTGTGAGTGGTAATTTCCGTTTGTAAGAAAAATATTGAAACATTTCTTTCATTTAAATACGCTCAACTTAAGAGGAGCCCGCAGAGCACACAGTCAGCACACTTTCTCGAGCGTTCAAAGCGTTAGCAGATGGAAAATACTCGGTGCAACGGTAACTCTGTATAAAAAGTTTGGATAAAAGTGAAAAAGGTGAAAAGCGCGAGTTTACTGTTTAAATAAAAAACTGAAATTTTTTGAAAAAAAATAATATTAAATAATAAAACCACATAAAAAAAAACTGTATGAAATTTTTGAACTATCGTCAACAATAATTTCGTCCTACGCACATTTAACAAGTGATCTACATAACATGTCCATGCAATACTCGCCAGCTTCATCTCCAGCCACATCACCAGATCCAACCGATCACTTTCATCACAATCTAACACCGCCGCCGCCCAAAACTCAAACCACACACCTTCCACCAACTACCAATGACACCACCAGCAACTCTACAACCGCAACGAATTCACCGCCGCCGGCACCACAAAAGTCAGAAACCACACCACGCATGTTACGCACACCCAAGTGTGCCCGTTGTCGCAATCATGGCGTCATCTCTTGTGTGAAAGGTCATAAAAAGCTTTGTCGTTGGCGTGAATGTTGCTGTCCGAACTGTCAATTGGTTGTCGATCGGCAGCGCGTAATGGCCGCACAGGTTGCTTTGCGGCGGCAACAATCCATGGAGGCGCTCGAAGTGCAGGCGAATGTGCAGAAGGTATTAGGAAACGCTGATGCGCATGGTGATGCAGAGACATTAGCGTGTGACAGTAAGGTCGATTCTAAGCCGAGTAGCAACACATTTCGCACCAAGTTGGCACTGATTGCACAGAAAAAGATCTACAAGCAACGTTTGCGTACTTTGCAGCAGACAACGTTACACATCACCGCAGCCATGGAGGGTAAGTTTTGAGAATGAAAAGTTTTATTTTAGTTTTATTTTCACGTGTTGAAGCGTGCACAATCTATCAATTGATCTTGTTGAGCATGGCATGCACTTTTCTGGCTACTCGTATGTCTCCATTGCTTGTCCGTACGTTCATACACCTTGTAGTTTGTGTACTTGTTGTCGTTTTCGCCACCTTCCTTCATTAACTCCATCTCTCATTTGTTTATTCATTTGCTGAATTGAAGTTCAATTAGCTTGTGGGGAGCGTAGCCTCTACAGTCTGCTCGTCTTGTTGATGTATTGCCGGCGCACGGTTTGATAGACAGTTTCATTTGGCACCAGCTGTCGACAGCTTTGATAATACACACAGCCACAAAGACACATACCACACACCACACACTCTTCACATGCACACAAAAATACCCTATTTCACTTCGAAAATCTTGCACAATTCCAAAAGAGCTGTTGGGAAAGAATTTTGCATAGCACCACTCCAACTCACCTCCCATCGCACTTCTTTTTTGCTCAATTTTTATTAATTTATTATTATTATTATTATTTTGTTTGTTATTTTTTGCCTTACTCAAACCAACAATACATCCAAACTCAGCGCTTGCATGTGTGGTATCAATCACATTTTCCCGCGTAATGCACCTAATGATGGCTAAAATAATTTTCAAAAACTTTTCTCTTGAAAGTCTATATATTTATATTCATATGTGTAATTGACTGGCGCGTTAATGGATTGGTAATATTTTCTTGTTTTGCCACATCGCCAGAATTAGCTAATATTCATGCAACATCTCCTTTGTTATAAAAAGTTTGTTGTTTATCGTTGAATATTATTTATTATTTCTTCAATTTTGCTGATTGAAAGTGACGAGTATAACTATGCAGCCGTATGTATGTACATGCGAATATAGGAACTGATTGAATCATTTAAATGAAATTATGTTTAATATTTATTAAAACTTTTCGACTGTTTGACTTTCATCACTTTGTATATCTTCAGTGATTTTCAACAAAATTATCAATTTTTTTCAATATGTAAATAAATTTACACACACTACATATACGTGTATATGTACATATGTACATAATTGACACTTAGCACCACTTAAATTATTATTTTTATAACTCGACTGTGGAGGAAATATTATTTGGGTTGATGGTCGGTGTAAACTTTTATCGATTAGCGCAAAAATCGATCGACGCGATAAAATGGCTGACAGCAAATTAAAAACAGTTAAGTGTAGAGGCGAAATTGATAATTTTTATAACATCGAAGGAAATTATTTTGTAAAGCAACTCATATTGAAAGCCATTTCGATTGATTGTGTTTTCACGGATTTCCGAACATATCCTGTAACATCTCCCGATGGAACGTGGTCTGAGGGAAACTTCCTAGCCTTGCTCTCTGACACATTGCTTTGACAACTAAGAAACTCATGCTGCGAGATTATAGCATAGGTTGACGACATTACCCGCACAGTCCAAGTTCTAAATATATATACATATATGTACATATATATTGTATATATATATAATTGGCGCTTTATATCCGCTAAAGCGAATTACGGTCGTGTTCCTCCTCTGATTTCTGGTATGCGTGTTGATGTTTTTCCAACAATTGGAGGGGCAATAAAAGCAATTTCCATCTTTTCCAAGATTTGAATCATAGTGAAAATCTGGTCAATGGTTGACTTACAACTCTTCACCAGATAGTATTTGTAAGCCCCCTGCCTTTAAAACGTTAAAAGCATCAATGTCTACCGAAGTCAAATACCTAGGGATAAGTGAAAGAATTAAGAAGGATATGACCGCGTTGGCAAAGTTGCAACACCAGAAGACTAAATGAAATTCAGCCAATGAAAAATCGCACAAGAAGGACACACTACACCTTCTCAATAAAAATCCCAGAGCGGAAATAATGGGAAAATGTAACAGTTCTAGAATAAAGCTCCGTAACTATCTTCACTGACCGCACGCTCACTCTGAGCCACCTGCTATCGACATGAGCTAGAGACTTCCCGACCCTTGCAGTGTCAAGCTAAAATTACTACAGCAATAGAGAATGCTTAATGGTTACTCGAATCTAGTGTAGTAAACTCCGTAATAGTATTTCTAACAGCCTGATGTGTAACCTTTTTGCATTTTTCTTCCCAAGGGCGATTAGCGTAAGTGCATAGTTACATCCAGTTAATAGGTTATCTTATTAACCGCTAAATCTGAACTTTTCGTTCTCCCGGCATTCTTTTCTTCGCGGTCTTAGTTTAGCGGCGGGGAGAAGGCTCTCTATCGTGATATCTAAACAGGTTACATTCTTAGGAATTGTCATACGTACAACAGCTTAGGACTTAAACCATCGGCATCCGCAGCTTTATTATTCTCCAAGTCAGAGATTTTCTATTTGAATTCCATAATAGTTTGCTGATGGAACGCCTATACCATCATTATTTATTTTTATGATATTCAGCTTACCTCTTTTCTTCCTACATGAGCTCCTCCGGTCTTGAAACCTTCCGTGAGTCGCCACATTTTATCACAGAATTAAATCTGACGTCCGGCTTCTCAAGCTCTTCATACATACCCCGCTTTTCTCCGTCTACTCTCGGTACCTTTCCCACGCGGGACGGCTATCTGCATCGTACCAGCTGCTACAGAGACGCATGGCTCTCTTTGCTTCTACAATATAATGATGCTATTGGATGATGAGGCCTTTAAGCGTAGGCACATCTAGAACGCTTGATACATATCGCTCGTCTATCACAACCTAATCGATCAGGTGCGGAGTTTTGGCAGCCGGAGATAGTCAAGTAATTTGATGGATTTTCTGTGTTGGAATCAAATAATATAGACAACCATATTTCGAGCCTCATCGAAGTTGATCAAACGCGCAACCCATTTGGGGATGCTAAGCTTTAATGCTGATTGTGGCGAGACGTGTCGCCACCGATGCGAAGGCCCGATCTCAGTGACTGTTCATCATATTTTATATTGCACAAAAGCTAAGAGTAGCAATTTCAGTACCAAAACTTATATGAACGCACTTGCTTATTTTCAAACAACAACAATAACATTTTTTTTGCTTTTGTCATGATCATTTTTTGTCCCAAACCACAAAATAAATCTCACAAAAAAAAATACATAAAAAATATGACTTATGAACTGTATAGTCAAATTACAATACTCTTTACATACAAACATTCATATATAATATATACATATATATACGCTTGATGTGTATACATACATACATACATATGTATTAAGTGCATTAGTCTGACCAGCCAGATTCGAAGCACAGTCTGGTGCCATACTGTCTGGACTCTTGCAGACGGCGCAGACAAACTGTCGCCACGCAAAGCAGCAACGAACCCACCCCGAGCCCCGGGTGAACCACACAAAGCAAAAATTAAATTACTTTTAGAAATCCGATACCTTAAGATGCGTAAAATAGTATAAACTGTAGAGCGGGGCAATAGGAAAGTAACAAAAAAATTATACAAATGCAGGAAATGCAGCCACAGCAGCAGCGGCAGCAGCAACAATAACATAAATATAGTGAATGCAATCAGTGCAACTGAAATAACACATACTCGTAAAAATATACATACATACATATCTATCATACATATGACAGTGAAAATTTTAAACAATAACAAATTGCAATGTGCACTATATATGTTGTATTTGTAATAGGAGTCATTTTTTGAAGGACATGTGCTGACGATATCCTGCACACACTCGTATGCACACATGCATGCATATATACATACAATATACATATACACTGATTGGAAAAACACTTTAATACTACTCGACAGCCTGGACTCATTAACCAGACATATTGGACATATGTAAAGGGTGTTTTTTAGACGTGTGGCTTTTAATGAGGCAACATTTTTTCGGAGTTGGTCTTTTTAAAAGCTGTTACCTGATATGCCATTTCATGAAGAACAGAAGCAAGTTCGGCTCGCGCTGCGTTCAACATTAGGTCGAGATAATCACCCAACAAAGCGGGTAATGGGAGCAACCATGGATCGGTTTTGCACCACATTTCCTCTAGTAGATAATGCGCTTTCTCAGAGACGCTCGACAATGCGCAGCGAGGAGGCTTTTGCTGCTGGGGAGCAAAGTATCAAAGTGAAGTGAAGCTTCAATGGGAGCTCTGCCCATCCACTTTACGGAAGGATCTTGGCTTACGGCCTTTCAAAATGCAACTCATACAGGAAGTACAGCTTCGCACATTCGGGTAATGGGTTCAAAACGAGTTGGCCACCGATGCTGGTTCTCACAAGAAAACTTTGTGCCGTGATGAAGCTTACTTTTGGTTGAATGGGTACATTGATAAAAAGAATTATCGAGGTTGGAGTATTGATGATCCATAATCCATTGTTGAGATGTCGTTTCATTCTCTAAAGGTTTGATATGCTCTATAAACAGAGAATTCCATTGAACCATATTTCTTCCAAAATACAGCCGGCCATAAAGCTAGAACCAATAGAGAGCGCTATAGAGCCATGTTTAATGACTTTTACGAGCTGGACTTCATGGATGATGTGAACGAACCTTTAATTCCAACAAGACGGTGGTAAATGCCGTGCAGCCAACGAAGCAATCAATTTGTTGAAAAAATATATTATCCCACGACGTGGGCCTATGAAATTAAAAACCGCTGGACAATATTTTGTGGGGTTATGTGAAGTCCCTTGTCTACGCAGATAAGTCCGCGACTTTTGGCGCACTGCAAGAGAATATTACGGGCGTTATTGCTGACCTACGGCTCCGATTGCTGGGAAAAGTGGTCGGAAGTTTGGGTCTCTTGTCCGCATTTTATTTCTTCTTGAAAACCACATGCTTCAAAAAACACCCTTTACATATATACACAAATTGGGATTTTAATACTACTCGAGAGTCTGGACTCCTTAACTATACACACATTTGGACATACATACATACATATATTTGTAGCAAAAACAAAATCAGAAAAAAAAATCAGAGAAAGGAAAGCACTTGAAATTGCGCGTTCCATCTGGTTTCCAAAGAAATCCGTTGTTTACGTGAATGCACGCGAAGTAACTCAATTGCTCTGCGTACATACATACATATGTACATATGTCAGAATTTATAGCATCCTCTGCATGCCATACAATCCCAAGCAGGACATTCAGGACACTCAGGCATGGGTATCAGTTTTCATCAAAATACCAATAGGTTGAGTGAGCCGAGGATCTAATTGACAAATTAGTTACTTTCCAAAGGCGACTTGTGAAAATTTCACTGCTGAATGCATCGGTGATACTCAAACACTTCAACGGGGCTCGCTGCATACTTACGTACATATGTATGTATGTAAATATGCTTGGGGGCTGTTACCCATCTCCGTTACAAATGCGCCAATTATTCACTAAAATATGTTAAAACTATCCCCATACGCGACTCAACACATTCATTACTTACTCTCTCTCTTTCTTTGCACACTTTCAGAATACAAACAACGTTTTCCCACCATCAATTCACCGTTATTGGAGCGTATCCGTAAACGACGCGCCTTCGCCGATCCCGAACTGAATTGGGTGAATCTTGAGGCAGCCACACTATTGAACACCTCGCCACCACCGCCGCCGCCATCAGTTTTGAGACAATTTCACACATCGCCGGCAGACTTGAGTCAAGCAGCAATCGCTATGCCGTCTACGATACCACATGGTTCCAGCGGCATTTACATGGGTGCGCCGGTGTTACCGTCGTTTTTTGCCACGCCTACCTTGTTACCAGCAGCTGTCGCTTCTGATGCTCTCACCTACTGTGTTGGCTTTGAGAATTATCCTGCGGCTCTTGCGACGGCCACCTACTCAGCTAATACGCAGTTGCCTATGTTGCACACGCATGACATGTCACCTTCGTCGCCCACTTCCGTGTCGGTAAGACCAACAACAGTGCACCAATGCATTCAGAAACCAGTGGAAAGTGAGAGCGCCAAGAATGTGCAGCTAAGTTCGTCGTTTAAAAAACCAAAACTCAACTTTTCCATTGAGTCAATAATTGGTGTTAGTATATAAGTTAATTTATAACGGAACCTTTTCAATTGTTATTAGCATTTTTTTTTGTAAATGTAGTCTGTAAAACTGTATTTATATGTGATCTTAAGAAGTAGAATAAATTCAATAAAAAAAATCTTTAATTGTTTGCCTTCGTCCTATAAGTCCGACTTGGATGCTAAGTCAAATCCGTGAAATCTTGACTCGATATCAACCAGAAACAGGAGAGACTCTTCTGGTAACCTGATGGACCTCACGTCAGCTCAACGAGCGCAGAAGAAGCGCGTAGTAAGGATCTTCTAGACTGAGCAGGTTGTGAGATATCGCGAATCCTCTTGCGCTCGCTACCCAACATCTTTCGCTTTTAACGGGAGCTCTAACTGGCTGCATCTAACAATATAAATGTAGTCTGACCAAGTATACATCTAGACTAGAATGGTAGGAGTTATCTTGAGGATCAGTACTTTATTATTTACTGCTCTGCATTTGCTTGATTGAAGCAGCTTGGTTCTATCATCTTGAATAGTATGAGATATTCAGGTATACGTCGACCAGGGGTCTTGGTTGGCCTTAAGCGATTATCGAATTGTGCTTACTTTTCCCTTTGCACGTTCTGGGATCTGCTGATGGTGTGTTGCAAAGACCAAGGCTTAAAATTATCTTTCAGAATAACAAATCAGTCATCCAAACGATAGCCTATTAAATCAAGATAATTTCTTTCACTAGAACTCGCTCTATTCGGTAAGATAACACCTTTCCCTTTTGATGGAAGCGCTGATTGGCTCTGATTTAGTCAGACAGTTTTAGTACTTATACTTATTGAGGGATAACCTTTACGATCAGAGATGTCTGGATAATGTCGAGAAACAATCAGGTTGTCGCATAAAAGATGGAAGTTGGCATCTTCCTCATTATCCTTCATGCAACTTCGGCAACGTCTTCTAAGAGGAATTCCCGGAAGACTATCTGGCTGTTGACTTATTATCAGGTAGTGTCCTATCAGGAGTAGTAGTGGAGTAGTTTGAGAAAACTTCACAACCAATTCTCCCATCGAAGTTCGAGGCATCCGTATATCTTATATCTCAATGCTATTTACAGGAGTGCCGAAATCTGCGTTCCATTGCTCCATTTTGATTATCTGCATCATAAAACTATTTCTTCTAACAACACCTTCCCTTAGCCAAAGCTAAGCTAGCAGCTGCTGCTATCTGGTAAACCATTAAATCCAATGGTAGGATGTGGAGCATTAAATTTAAGACCTCCTTCGGATAATTATTATATCAGTGCATGTTTATACTAACCAGAGGGGATCATTGTATTTTAATTATTAAGTTCACACCTATCGTCATGTTTTTCGTGTTTTGTTTTGCTAAAACAATTATGATAATTAATAAATTTGTATTTTTTTTTTTTAATTTTAACATTAAGATTTTTATGCTTTGAAGTTATTGTGAACTACTTGAATATCATTGTGACCTTACAAACAACAAAATAAGAGGATATATATGCAGAATTTAAGTGAAAGTAAACAAAAATAAAAGTGTTTTGTATTTTCAGTGTCTTTAGTAATTTTATGTTTCATTGCGAATTTGATTATTTGCAACAAAACAGTTTAATTGGTGCCACTAGTGCACCATGTCAGCGCAGGAGGAGCGTAATGAAATAATACGAGAATATTTACCAAAGCTAATCAAAGAACTCACCGGCTATGCAGATGATGATGAGAATTTACGCAGCTGTGAACAAATGGCCTGGTCCATCATACGTAACCATCGGAATTTGAGCACAAATAGTCATGAAGTACGACGCCACATCGAAGGAATACAGGAAAAGTTCGTTGTCGACAATAACGCAGAATATGCACAACGTTTGGGTCAGCTATGTGATGAGATCATAGAGCATCCGCTTTGCGTAGAACACTATGAAGTTGATGTGCATTGGTCATTATTGGATTTTTTACTATCACTTGCAAATAATCCAACTGGTGCTTTGCGACGTAATAAAGAAAAAATCGATAAGCTATTGGAGGAGCATGATAGGATTGTACATGTTGAAAGTGTCGAAACTGAGACGGAATATTGGAAGAAAATATTACAAGAGGATTTCATTCCAGTAGAGAGGCTTAGCGATAGCGCATCCGATTTAAGTGTTAGTATTTCTTTATAATCCTACATATATTTTAAGCAAATACTCTTTTTATAAAGACTTGGTCTGATGATTCAGCAACGGTGCTGAAAACTTCCTCGGATGAAGAAAACGATATCATACCTATCGATGCTCCTAGAGAATCGCCTACACCGCCAAGAGGAATGGAAAGTATTAAACCACCTAAGAAGTCGCTGCCCTACTATAAGTACGACAGCTTATCTGCGGAGCAACGATTATTAGGTACTATCCAACAAACTTGGTGGGCAAAAGGCTTGAAGACCGTACATCCACATATTGAAAGCACAAACAAAGAAGCTAATTTTGCTTTAGAATATCATCGTTTGCATAAAACTTCAATTAGTCAGCGTAAACGCGATGAACCAGAAACGGCTACAGAGTATTGCCTTTTGCGTGAGATATTTTGGATGTTTCAGGTACCACAAACATGTAAATTCTTTCAAGTAAGCGATGAAAGTATTAAAATAAGAAAAAACGTAACACTCACCAGCACCAGACCGGTAAGAATTTGTTTTCTGGCATATTTTAAATTTTAAATTATAAATAAAAACTCTAGGTGGCTATTGCTTCGATGTTGGAAAATCATTTTCTGCCCTACATATACATGATGAAAGATTTACGTAATTTTGGAAAACTAATTTACGATACAGACGAATACACTCCATCAAATACACTCGAACACTATGCTGCCAGCTTGGAGCTACTACTAGAGCCTATATGGAATGATTTGTTGGCTTGTGAGAGGGAGTTACTAATGCAACCAGATTGCAAAATTAACACAGTCATAAGTTTGCATAACAAACTGAAACCTACATTCACAAAACTCAAATATTTACATAATATACATCAACAAGCGACTTTAAATGTACGCCAATTACCAGCACATATCTCAAGTGCACACCTATTGGCTGCGCTAGTACACTCCAATGAAGTTGCCACCACAGCTTTGGAAGCCAATCTAGCCATGTCGCTATTTCTCGCCTCTGTGAGAGTATACCTAGTGATTGCAGATACCTGGTGGACAGAGGGACGTTTGGATGATTGGCATAATGAATTTATTATCGAGCGTATAAGTACACCAGGTCAAAGTATTAATGTACGAGAATTCAGCAAGAATAAGGAGAAGGCATTTTTTGTGCCCACACATATATCTAAAATGATAACAGAAGATAGTTTCTTTCAACTGTTAATGGAGCATTCGTTGGAGGCGGGTTGCACGCTGAATTTACTATATGAAATTAATCGCATCGGCGAGCTGCGTAGTGCTTGTGATGCGATTGAGGGTAAATTATATAATGTATTCATCGACGATGTGCTCAAATATGTGCGTATTTTACAAAAGCAAATTATGGAGGCAATAAGAGAGGCCAAAGAAAATGATCGGTTGGAAATTGAGAGTGTAGAACGTGAAGTTAACAGGGATGAAATTGATGAAGCGGCTGGTGATGGTATAACCACAGGAATAGAAGCACAAATCGATAGAACGATAGTTAAGGAAACACATAATAATTCCGAAGATGATGAAATACTTAAAAAATTAACGACAAATGATGATTTCTTACTTCTTGCTTTCACAATGAATATGAATTTAACCGAACCTACGCAAGAGAGCGGTGATCAATGTGATGCGGCTATTAAGAGCACAATTAAAAATGAGGAACCTACAGCTTTGGAGATTTTCGAACAATTGCAACAGTCCAAAAACATATTACCGTTGGAGGAAGTGGTTTTGAGTGCTTTGAGTCGCATACTCAAAACACGTATAGCCTTCGCTAACTCTTTTGTGATGCGTTTGTATCGTGAAGAGTTTGATATTTTGAAGCATTTGCGAAATATACGAAAAATCTATTTGCTGGAGGCAAGTGATGTAATGCATCAGTTCTACACAAAGCTTTTCAAACAGGTATTTTGATTATTTCTTTGATAAATTTGAAATGAAAAGTAATAATTGATAATTAAATGTGATTTCTTTGATTTTATTTGTTTTTGTTTCATGCACTTAAATACAGACACTACATATTTGCAAATTAATTAACTGTATAACACCAATTTCTCTCACAGATTGAATCTGGCGAGGCCTGGGCAAATGCATTCATACTCACCACTCAACTGGATGATATAATTTGTGGTAAATTTACCGATATGACTTCATTATTTCGCATAGAGATCAATTCTGCGTTTCGTTGTCAAACGGTTAAGGTAGGCAATAGCCGTTATCATTGCCAATAATCAGCCAATAACTCATATGATTTACCCGCAGGTGTTTGAAGCAGTCGATGAATTGTGCTTAACGTATAACCTCAGCACAGAATTGGCTCATATGATCAAATCTTCAGATTTAGATGCATACAACAAAGTCTTCCGATTTCTACTAAAAGTCAAATGGGGTTTAACCACTTTGGAAAACTTAACATTTCCTCTTTCCCATAAACGTAAAACACCCTATGCACCCTTTGAGATGGTGGATTTGCTTATGCGTCGTCTGGAACAGTTACGCTTTTGGATGTTATTCGCCTTACAGAGTGTACATTTCCATTTAATGACACACGTGCTGCAATCGATGGGCGAGCAATTGGATGAGAAAATTGTTAAATGCACGAATTTGAAAGAAATGGTAACTGTACACCGCTCGTATATTAACACGGTGTGTGAGCATTGCTTTTTGGCAGACACTTTCAGTGTGCTAAAACTGGGTGTCGAACAGGTATAGTATGAAACTTTTGTTGAATTTTAAATTGAAATTAAAAAAAAAAACACTTTTTCAGCTTCTCAACTTAACATTTATTTTGCGTCTTGAATGGAACAGTTGTGTGAAATTCATTGAAATGAATAGTAATCCCCTAGCTGTGGTGGATTTTAATGAAAGCAATGAAGAGACCGATTATGTTGCACACTCACAAATCGATGCCATTGAGTTGACTTACATACGTTGTCATCAGTATTTAGCGAATAAATTAAATAATGAAGTTTACATCAAAAATAATTCGTTTCGTAAGTATTTACTAATGATAAATTTTACGTATTCATTTACATTATTTACATTTTTGTCTTTGCAGTTTTGGGTCTCAGCACCGCTTTCAATACCAGTTTGCCATACTAAGTTGTCATCAGCATTATTTGAATCCTCAATACTCGTTGCCTGTTATTATTAATATTTATATATTGTTAGAAACGTTCAAAATAAATTAATGAATAAATTTTTTTAATGCATAAAATATACCTAATTTTTCCTTTCTTAAGCGGTTACGTGAGCTTAAAAAAAATAATTTTGCTTTTGTCTAAATTATCGAATCGATCCGAAACTGACTTTGGGAGACACAGCCGAGGGAAGATGTGCACTCAAAGACAAGTAGACTCAGCGCTTGAAACTTTAAACTGTGTTTTCAAAGTCGGTTGACGAAACTTCTCACAAACTACGCAATCGATCCCAATCGCAAGGAATTGGAAGAAATGTTGTTCTTTTTTTTCAATCACAACTATTTTAAAAAATTAAAATTTTGCACAAAATTTAAATTTTTTGGAAAGAAATCTGCCAAAAATCCAATTTTCAACACAGACGTGTGTTTTTCCCGAAGGATCTGCGGAAATGATGACATAATAGCGAAACTATAAATATTTTTATTTGCAAATTTCAGAAGTTCTTTTTCAAATGTATATCTGTAGGACAGTGATAGTTTGAATAAAATATTTTTTTTTTTTATTATGTATGTAAAACTTATTTTTCATATTTTTTTATCTTTTTTTATTTTTTTCTGTTATTATATTTATTAACATTTTTTACATTTGTTTTATTTTTTATTAGTTGTAAACATTTTTATTTTTATATATGTATGCTTTTTTATACTTATATTTATTAATATTATTTGATTTTTAAAAATTGTTTTTATTTTAATATACATACATATATATATTCTTTGGGTTACACATATCTTTATATTTTTATAATTTTTATATTACACAAATTTTTTCTTATTTTATATTATCTAACTTTTTTAAGATTTTTTATTTATTATTTAGATATATATAATTTTTTATTGTTTTAACATCATTTTGTTTGTTTTTTGTTATTTTTATTTTAAATAAAAATTTAAAAATTATTTTTTTATTCATTTGTTTTTTTTTATATATCTAATTTAGTTCTTATTTGGTGTCATATATTTCCTTTTAACATTAACAAAATTATCTTTTTCAAGTTTTTGTTATTTTTTTTTATTTATATACATTAAGTTTTGATAGATTTTTATACTGTATTTTATATTTTCTATTATGTTTTGTTGATCTTTATTTATAATTTTTATATATATTTTTTGTTGTTATATGTATGTATATGTATATATATATCTTTTTAGTTTTTTTTAACATTATTTTGTTAAGATTCATGTTATTTTCTATATTTTTTTTTATTTTTCTATACTATTTTTTATACATTTTTTTTTTTAGGTTTTTAATATTATTTTGTTATTTTCTATATTCTTTTTTTATTTTTATATATTGTTTTTAATTTTTTATATATTTTTTTAATTTTTATATATATTTTTTGTTGTATATATATATTATATATAGATATCATTTTAGTTTTTTTTATCATTAGTTTGTTAAGATTTTTGTTATTTTCTATATTCTTTTTTTATTTTTGATATATTGTTTTACATTTTTTATATATTTTTTTTTAATTTTTATATAAATTTTAAATTTTTTTACATTTCTTATAATTTTTTAATATTTCTTATGATATTGAGGCATTTTTTGTTTTAGACGTTTTTAAAAGGTTTAAGAGGGAGTTGGCCAAGCAAAAAGCTGTTGCCATAGTTACATGTGTCAAAGTCTATTGTTTCCTGCAATTTACTTTAGTCAGAAAAACAATTCCAAAGTAAAAATTAAATTACAATAGAAATTCGATCGAACAAATTAAATACATCTAAAAATGCATCTAAAACCCGGCGTTGAAGGTAATGGGAACTTAGGAACATTGAAATTAACAGCTAATTAAAGTAACTCCCTACAGACATTACCTACAACGCTAATATTTGGTTACAAGCTGCGATGCTCGCCAATGTTTACATCTCAGTGATATGGGGCATAATTTACGGTTTCTATGTACTATATAATGTAAGATGTTGGTTATGACTGTTTAAAATAAATTGTGATTGACATTTACTTACGAATCCTTGTAACAGTTGCAGGAGATGCAAGACTTTTATGGACGTGCAATTATAATTGTCTACCTAATAACGCTGCTGACGGAGTTCTATCGCCTGCGTGCCGGCTATAAAGGCAATTTACAAGCGGAGGTGAAGTGTTTTGAATAATATGTTATTAAAATGTGTGTTTTCTTATAATTAATTTGATATTTCATTATATGGTGCAGATTAGTGAGTTAAGCATTTTCCTAGCAACAACACCACTCATTCAATTACCGCTGTTGGTTTTTCTCTTTCTGGCCGTTAAAGGCAATTGGATGGTGATAAACATTACCATCGAATTAATGCTTAGTTTAATGTGCATTGAGGTAATTGTTGGCATTTGGACTTGGCATATTTTTACGAAACATCAAAGTGAATTGCATAAGGTGAGGTGCCAAAACCGGCAGCAATTGCAAAATACATGAAATTGAGTTTAGCGGAAGTGTTTGCGAAGAAGCGTTTAATTAAATTTGATTTTTTTTCATGTGTATGTGTGTAATATTTGTATTTTATTGATTCACATATTTTTAATAACTGAACAACAAACATAGTTTCATAAATACATTCATTAACTTATTAAGAGCGCAACAATAGTAAAACTCCATTTAATTTTACTAAAACTTTTAATAGAACAATTTAATTTTTTTTTTTTTTGAAATTGACAAGGCAGCTATTTATTACATAAGATAATTTATATTGGTAGCCGCAAAGTAACATGAGATAAAACATAAAACTGATAAAAGAAAACATAAAAATGACCAAACTCTTGTGGAAGAGAAGAGTAATTTTAAAAATTTTATTTAAAAAAGTTAGAGCTCTAGCTGACATTGGCTTATCGATTTCTGAACTCAAATTAAATGCATATCTACGATTTACTACGACGAGCTTGCAGAAAAAAAAAGTATTACCAGCCAGTGTTGAGTCAAGGCAAAGAGCTACGCTCGTTTTTAAAACACCAATATGACGTTCTATAGTTTGCTGCAGGTGTGAATAATATAGCAATAACAAATAATAATATATGTATGTAGATATCTATACCGAAAAAATTGAAATTTCTAAACTTTCCAAACATGAAAAGCCTAATCACTTATACTAAATAAAAGTTTTTCCTTCGAACATTAAAATTAAATAAATGTCTAAACACTGAACTTTCTTAAAATTACGTCACGAACATAAAATGCTAGTTAAATGTATATAAGTTTTTTTTCCTTTGCTATACTTACTTAAAAGTGTTTTACAAACACAAAATGACTGGCCATTAATACTAAATAATATTTCGTAAGCACATACAACTGATCTTAGTAGCTTTCAGCTTATTGTAATTAGAAAGAAAAAAATTGTCATTGCAGCAACAGCCTCTATGTGTATATTAACTGGTACGGAACTCATTAAATATTCAAAAACAAAATCCGAAATGCGAAGTTTATGCCTTCCCTCACGCCTTTGGCACATCCAAATTGTATTTCTTCAACAACAAATCTATACGATTCAAATATTCACGCATTGTTGGCAGGAATTTCTCCAAAACCTGCAGATTCTCAGCGTGCGCTTCACCTTTGCCAATCAATTGTGAGCGCGTTGGCACCCAGCTGTAGATTAACTGCAATGTTAATAATAAAAGTGTATACAAATATACCGTTAATATAATATGTATCTATGTATTAAACATCTAGTTACATATGTATGTATATAATTACTCTCACATTTAACCTACTTTAATTGTGCCTTGAACTATGAAACCATGATATGGCTTCAATGTACGCTCATACGCATTCTGTAGATGCGGCTTCAACACCTCAGCGCCCTGTGCGTCGTAAAAGATATTCTCGAAGAAAGTATAAATCAATTGTAGGCCACGTTTTAACCACAGCAATGCATCGGCAGCAATGTTGTTCACATTTAGATTTAAGACAATCATGTCCTCTATGTAGGTATATTTCAATCGATCCGTTTGGTAGACTTTTGTTAATTTCTGTGCATATACATATGTATGTATATGAATTGTAAAAATTAAAAAATAAATTTATTAAAAATATTATTCTTATGCAATAATCAACAATGGCCTACCACAATATTGCCATTCATATCGTTTATCACAGGTGTAAATAGTTTGCCAAATGTCTCTGCAAGTACATAAATACATATATACATACATACATATAAATTGGATAAGTAAAATATATATATATATATATTTGTTCAGTCTTATAAGGAATATTGTATAAATATTATTTCACCGCTGTTATCAGCAACACAAAAACATAATCATTAAATAATTCATGGGCAAACCAATTTGGGAGTCCCTTTCATTAGTCATGCATTCGATATTTTTTTTTAATTTTTTTTTTTGATAATTTGAATGCGCGTGCGTATTACTCAAGAGCACTGATTATGAGATTATGAGTGATTGCGCAAATGATATAAAGAATATCCATATATATATTATATATACTTGTCGCCTTGTAACCGCTGAAGCGATTTTTCGGCCGAGCTCCTCCTCCAATTTGTGGTTTAGCGATGTTTTTCTAACATTTGGAAGGACCTATAGTTTATACTAAGCCGCCACCGAACGGAGGATGGTTTTTAATGAGGAGCTTTGTTTTATGTCCGAAATACGCTCGGTCGTGTGGGCATTTCCTGCCGAGGGGCGACCGTAATTAGAAAATTTAACTTAATTTTTCTTAACTCTTCGATGTTGGTGGCATCGGGATATGAACCCGAGCCATACATACATACATACATATATGTATATGTACACATCATTGACACTTTGTAACCGCTGAAGTGATTTGCAGCGGAGTCCTCCTGCAAATTGTGGTAAGCGTCTTGTTATTTTGTCCCACCTTTTAGTGTAGCCAGGTCCTTCTCTACCACCTTATAAACGTAAATGAGGTCTTCCTCTGCCTTCCCCGACTGGATTAGTATCCAAAAGTTTCAATGAAAGTAGTTTTTCCATCCATCCAGTTGACAGGACCAGCACACATTCATACGTAGCCACTGTCTCTTTATTCGCTGAACTAGATCAATGACGACGTACGTCTCTCCAATAACCTTATGGTGACATTAGTGCTCGCATTCGCTTTGAAGACTGATATTATTGCTAGATAGACCAAATTTTCTACGACTTCAAAGTTAGTACTATCAACAGGGATGTGAAACGGATATACAGCGAATGCTGCCTCCCTCTTCTTAGGGATCGCAAGGGAAACACTTAGGTCACAATCGTTTTGAAAGAAGCAGTAAACCATCGGCTTTCGAACATTATCATAGTCGGGTGATGGCTATGTCATTGTCATCGACTCGGGGTTAAGGTTCATTGGCACTGGGTTATTCTTTACCTATACGAAAATTAACCAATTATGGTCTGAACGTTTTTGCTAAACAACAATACAAATTGCTCTTCTGGTAGTACTCTTATCGGCGGTGGAGCCAAGTACTTATCTGAAGTACTTCACTCAAATTCCCACTTAACTTTTCTTATCGACAAGTCACAACCAAACCTTTTTGCAATAGCATGAACGTATACAACATATGGTATAATTAGTGCTTTGTACTCACTGAAGCGATTTTCGGCAGAGCTCCTCCTCCGATGGACGAACACTTTGCTCTGGTGGAATGAACCCCTCAATAACGCATATAATTAAAGCCCATCTTAAACGAACTGGGTCTAATCTTGAAAAAGAACCGTGAGAAAAGGATCAGTACACATCACCTCCTCATCCATTTTGAAACTGTCTCAGTTAGCACGAAAGAAAACAATTGCAAGGTGAAGTTCTATCTCGACAAATGAAAACCAAACTCAACAAGTTGCTCAACATTCCCGTGCTGTTATATGGCGCAGAGGCTTGGATGATGACCACATCCGATGAGCTCCCATTGGGAGTTTTTAGATAAAAGTTTCTGTGTCCTCTGTGCAATGACAATGAATAAAGAGACAACGCCTATGCTGGCACATCAGCCAATCAGCTTTGAAAGTATTCAATGCAGCACCCTGTCGGTGGATGCGGGGGAAGATCTTTACTACGTTGAAAGCGGCCCGCAAATCGATGATGTAGGTGAGTACGAAGGGAAGAAACGACTGGTGCGCTGTTACTGTTTGGGCTAATAATAATAAATGCCTTCCGAATAGACCGAATCATTTAAAATTGTACAAAATCACGTTCGTATGAAATATTTCAATAGGAAAAATTTTTAAATTTTCAATAGTTAGTGACGATAGCAGTGGCCGAGTGGTTATCAAGGTCACAAATTCAGATCAGAACCAGATCAGCATTTAAAAGAGTAAACGCCCCTCGGCAGGGAATATCGTGAAATATAAAGCTTCTAAAAAAAAGCATCATCTGTTGTTGTAGCGGTTCTTCAGCCCTTCTTAGGAGCAGACTCTAAGTAATCGAGCTGTTTGGACGGGTTCGGACCAAAGCCAAGATGAGTTAGATGACAATGTTTTAGGAGATGACGGCCAGGAAGGTTTGGTGGGTTTGGCAAGGAATCATCTACTACGAGCTGCTCCCTTATGTCCAAATGCTCAATTCGGCCTTCTACTGCCAACAACGCACTCATCCAGAAGAGGCTATCTATGATCAACAGAGACCGAATTGTGTTCCATCAGGATATTTTTAAAGGGTTTTCATCAAAATTCTCTATAAAAACGGTGAAAACCTGCAAGAGACGGTTCGTAAAACTAAAATATTTGTCGGTCATCGTCAAGCATCTTGTCGAACCACAATACGGAAATTGGTGGAAAATATAGAGCTGCTGGGACAAGTTAATGATGTGAAGAATAAAACAGGTTTGTCCATATTTCGTCCGTCTTTGGATTTAGACATTCCACAAACGTCATTACGCCGTATTTTTCATTAAGACTTGGGTCTTAGTGCTTATAAAGTTCGGTTAACACAAGAACCCGAACCGGCCGATCGTCAACAACGTCGTGTCTCCGCTGAATGAGTCCTAGAAATGCATTGAAAAGAATCGGAATTTTATCGAAGAATCATCTTGACGGATGCGATGCATTTCGACCTCAAAGGCTACGTCAATAAGGAAAACTATCGCAACTGAGGCTCAGAAAACCCGAGCAGTACTCTTGAAAAAGCTCTCCAACCTCAACGTGTAACTCTTTGCTACGGTGAAGTATATTGGATTGCGCTAGCGAGAGATGATTAATGATTTGTTATGGTCTGAATCGGTTCGTATTGATCTGGACGACTTTTAATATCAACAAAACGACCGCACAAGCAACAAAACCATCGAGCTTTTAAGGGAAAAGCTTCTTTGTATATCAAAATAACACCACCTATTGGAACACCCTGTATGAATATAGTGTAAAATATGCAGTAAGAAGAGAGAAAAAAACACAAAGCGCTGTTCGTAAATGACTCACTCACCAATAACAGTGACAATCTCCTTCGCAGATTCCAAAAATGCTACAGTCTCAATTTTATCCTCCACAATTGGCGGGAAGCCCTTCAGTGTTTTGAATTGTATGCGTGGTGCGGACATATTTCCAGTGTTCACTTTTCAAATATTTCAAATTTAATTTCTAACTCGACACTTTTGCTAAAAAAAAAAAACAGTCAATTAGACCACTTGTTTTTGCACGTCAACAAACCACTGCCAACTAATAGCAGAGAAAATCAAATTTTCAAATATTCAGTTCGATTGTGGCTTACAACGCTATAACTTTATCTTATCTCTATTGATAAGCGCTGTGTTCGAGTTAACACTGTTATTAAAATATTTCTTTGAAATAGATTTTTATTTTGTTAATACTACAGGTGTTGTCAGCGCGTTCTGGGCTGTCTGTTTGTGTGTGTGTGTGTGTGTGTGTGTGTATGTCTCAGCAAACTAAAGTTTAGCTCATACACGTACTAAAGGCTCATGAATTTAGCTGATGATTAAGCCGCTCTTTCTATTCACTAATAAAAGTTGTTTCCCGAACTTCTGGCGCGATTGTGTAGATACGTGCATCGGCTTGCGGGAGCGTGACTTTGACTTGCGCATGTCAATATAGCAACTAAAAAACCAGCTATAAATTGATGACTCGATAACGCATGGCCTCAACTCGTTTATTACTTACTCTTCACGTTGACTTTTTTTTTTCTCTTTTTGCCGTTATTTTAATGGAGCTCAACTTGTCAACATTATTTAGTGCTGGTCTTTGTTGTTGATGCAATTGTTGTTAGTGTACACGTAAGTTTTGTTGTACTGATTATAATTTATTTTTTATTATAAGTGAGCATACATACATACATGCCTACATACAACATTATGTATTTATTTTTTAATATTGATATTGTAGGGATTTGTTTACCACACCAATATACATACATACATACATACAAATATATATTGTTTTTAGTTTATTATGCCGCTTTCAAGATAGTCCATTCGTCAACGTAAATAAACATAAACTCAATTCCACTTTCTTAAACGTAAATATGTTAAATATCGTTCTCAATGACTACCAAAGTCTCACGCAGCAGTCTGCTATCAGTTGAATGGTGGAGCTGAAAGTAAGGAAAAAAATTTATTAGTCCTCCGATTTCAATGATTTTCGGTGAAAATGTTTATTTGCTAATAAGAATATATGATATCGAATTTTAACGTTTTTAGATGCTTTTTTGACGGGTTTTTGAACCAAAATTTCATATCTATCAGGTGTACAACTTTGCTTCCGCCGATCTTCGATAGGTGGCTGTACCGGCTGAGGCTGGTTGAAATACATAGAAGATAATGCCTTTAAAGTGAGTGTGGACAGTGCCTAACGAATTGTCATCGCCGTTTCAGTGACGGTTGTTCTTGTTTTCGGTTTATTCACGCTCAAAAAATGTCCGTTTATGTGCCTAATTCTCGCCATTTGCGGGAAGTCTTACTTTTCTGTTACAATTCGAGCAAAAATGCAGCTGAAGCGCATTGAATGCTCTCAGAAACTTACGGTGATGCTGCTCTGAGTGAAAGAACGTGTCGGGAGTGGTTTCAACGTTTTAAAAATGGTGATTTCGATGTCGAAGACAAACATGGTGGTTATGATTTGTATTTGGTGGGATCAGCTCGGTGTGATTTACTACGAGCTCTTAAAACCGGGTGAAACCATCACAGGAAATCGCTACCGAACGCAACCGATGCGCCTTAGTCGCGCGCTAAGACAAAAGCGGCCATAATATCAAGAGCGACATGATAAAGTCATCCTCTAACACGACAATGCTCGGCCTCACGTCGCAAAAGTGGTCGACAAGTATCTGGAAGCGCTGAAATGGGAAGTCTTCCCCACCCGCTGTGTTCCCCAGATGTCGCCCCTTCTGACTTCCACTTATTCCGTTCGATAGCACACGGCCTGGCAAATCAACATTTTCAATCCTTCGAAGAATTGGAAAAATGGACTGCTCCATGGATAGCGTCAAAGGAGGACTCCTGTTTTCGAGCCGGTATCCGAAAATTGCCGAAAGATGGGAGAAAGTTGTCGCTAGCGAAGGACAATACTTTGAATAATATATCTGTAAGCACTTTTTCGCAATAAAGCTTTTAATTTTTGAAAAAAAACGGCGGAAGCAAAGTTGTACACCTGATAATAAGCCACTTCTCTGGAAGCTTTAAGAAGTATTGGGTCGATTTCGATGATTTTCGGTAAAAATCAATGTTTCTTTGTATAAATGTCTTTAGAAACCTCACGCTCTTAGACAGATCTGTGTACCAAATATTTTAGAGCTCCAACAAACCGAGCAGGCGGGCTTTGTAGCGAATACTTTCAGAGCTGGTGTATTTTTATCCATCCCAGCAACAAGCCCTAGCCAGCGTGTCCGTAGCCGTATTGTATTTCTCGTACAGCTCATCGTTCCATCGCCTGTCATAGGCAAAAGATTATTATTTTTCCGAAAAGCTTTTCTTCCGAAAACTGCTAACGCCAACTCATCGACGTTGTCATCGTTTAGGCCACTGCACCATATAAAAGGACAGAATGATAGCTTTAAAATTAGCTATGGCCTCGTTCTCGAGCACACCTATTCAACACCGATTTCAACTGAGCCTCTTGTCGTAGTGTGAAAGCCTGTTTCAAATTTCGACAAAGAGGTGACGTGTGGCAATCTTCTTTTCACTTTTTTTATCAATATTCTAGTGCCTCTCTCAGTAGGCAACAATCGAAGATTTCATTGTCAAATGGAGTCTGTTCTGCTTTCAGTTGATGACTTATCAGGGTTGCCGCTATTTCATCTTTTGCCGCTAGTCTCCAGTGTAGTTAATTTGGGTTCTTTATTACAGAAATTTTGACGAATGGAAAGTCGATACATTCAGTTCGCTTCAGTACTTCTTCACCCAGCTGGTTCGCTAACTCCGCTTAGGCAGAGGTTTGATCAATCTATTGTAAGTCGCCGAGGTCATCTAGTGGGAGATCCAGGAAACGTGCTGTTTCGACGGGATCGGAACAGGGAAAGAGGGGAGTTAGATGAGCCGGTTCAAGGGGGCATGTGAAGAGGTAGTTAGTGTCGTACGGAGATTTTACACATGCAGGGCATACGTTGGTTACGCTGGGGTCGACTCTATATAAGTAGAAGTTTAACCTGCTACAGTATCCAGACCAATCCTGTCCAGCGGTTGTTGTACGTATAGCTAGATGGTGTTTTCAAATCGAGTACTCCCTTTCTGATGTGGCTAGGTGGAGGTTCAGCGTTAATTAGGTGCCTATTGGGGTGCTCCAACCGGTAACATCCCAATAGGAACTGCTTGCACAGCAAAGCATTATGCTCCTTAACTTGTAGCATAGATGCTGCACTGTGCAAGTGATGCTTCGGCAACATCAGGAGGTTTCCTGTCGCGGTCCTGGGGGCGGTGTTTTGGAAAGCCTGTAACTTGTTCATCTGCGTCTCGTTCGTCTCCGGCGCCCAGGTCGGTGCAGAATAGTTTACGACCGGCCGTCCAATTGCTTTGTAAGTTGCCAGCAAAGTTTCACCCAGTTGGTGAAGAGGGTATCTGAAGATTTCGCTGGTGCAGTGAATAAGTGCGAAAGGTCGGCAAGATAACAGTTTTTTTCTCCAACGAAGGTTATCAACACCTCGCCAGACGCCAATATCAAGCAGACACCGGCATATAAGGTGAAAGCTTCAGGTATAAAAATATAATAGCAGCGGGGGGAGGGAACTACCCAGCAGAACCTCTTGTATAATTTTTAGGATTTTTTCTGTATCTCTCTCATTTCTCGCACGTTCAAAAGAACTATGAGCTACATCTTCGAGCACTTTTAACGCATTTATTAGCACCGTGCTTGGTGATTTCAGTGTTATGGCGGAAAAAAGGTACTCGGTCAGATCAATTCCGATGGTTTGGAATTATGAGTGTCAGTAATACAATACTTGAGGATTCGAAACTAACTCGATGATCTTTAGATAAATTTCAAATAAGTTAATAAGTAATATTTAGGTACTCACCTTGTAAAGGGGTACTACACGAATTACCAGCTTAGCAATTACGAGGCTCACACAAACGCTTAGCAACACCCGAACGCGTGAGCACAAACAAGTAGTGATCTTTTTCAAGAGCTTCGATCGCTTCTTGCGGCAAGTGAAATTTATAAATTAAACTATCCGATTTGCTTGGTTCATACCAATATTTAACTAAACTCTTATCAACGGTGCGTACCTCAATCAGGCACAAGGCATGTTCACTCTCACCACTTATAACACACTTATCAGCAGGGTCATATTTTAACAGTGTTTCAACCGTAGCTAAATCAAACACATCACCGTTAGTTCGGCAATTTTTAAACCATTTGTTATGAGCTAAAATTATAGCACAATTTCGTGTAAAATAAAAAGGATCACTTGTTTTTTGTTCATGATATTTCTCAAGGAATTTGTTCGTGGAACGTTTGAGCTGTGTAAAACGAGGACGCTCCGCCACTTGTACATTCAAAGCATGCGCTGTTCGCTCAATAACTCTATCAGGGAGATGCTCGGTCAGATTGTCAATTGTGAACACGCGATTAATATAATCGAAACCATTGCCCATAACACCGTCTATGGTGTGACCTAAATCGAAAGTATGGCCGATTTCATGCACAACAGCACCCAACGTTGTTGCGTACACACCGCCATATGTACAACGATAGTTGCTATCATCTGGTAATTGCGTGGGATCCACTTTCTCAGTGCTGCCGAAATATGCATTAATATCTTTACAGTAGCGTGGCCATGCATACAAATAAGCTGCACCGAAAAGCGCCAGACCACCACCACCCAAGGCGGCGTGACCCTTTAAGTGCCTGCGAATGTTAGCGTACGAGAAATCGCCTGAAGCTGCTATTGCTGCAGCGTCATATTTCGTACAGCCAATGAATGCAACAAACTTTAGTTTGTCCTCGCCACCCCAGGCGCTTGAGTTGAGTATCTCCTCCGCAAAATTTTGCCACAAGCTTTCTTCGTTCAGCTGCCAAACTTCTTCGCAAGTTAGTTGTGTTTCAAATACTTTACAATCACCATTTAATGTAAATGTGAAGCGGCCGTAAGCAGCAGCACGCAACTGATCCGCATAAACGCTCTGCACCAAACGTAAATTTAAATTGATTTTATCAAAACACGCACGCACTTCTTCGTCTTTGGTATGCTGATTAGAACATTTGATATATAAAGCTTGTAGGCGATAATTGTTTGTTGGACATTCATACAAGATCTCAATGTTCAATACCGAGTTACAATAGCAAAAATGCAGTTGCAGTGGTAATTTTCTGTGGTTGCCCGTCACTGGCACATGTTGACCCAAATCGCAGAGCAGTTTAAACTGACCATTTCTGGAAATTTGCGACTGTTGTTCCAACTCCCATGGTGTAGATTCCAAGCTGCTGTTGTACTTCACATGTAAAAGTATTTGTTGCTCGACACACTTTTTTAATGGTCGGAGCTGGCGTATATGACCCTTAATAAGCAGTAAAGTATGTTGTACAATTTCTCCGTGCTTCAAATTATCTACTTCTATTCTATGCTCACAATCATCACTAATCATTGCACTATCAATTTGCTTCTAATCAAGTGCTAAGCACCTGAGTTGTTTACTGATAGCTAAAACTTTTTTCTCTCTCCCTTGAGAGGAGTCAGCTGAACATTCAATGTTCTGAAATGAAAAATGCAGTGATCAGCTGTCTTCACTTTTCTCGAGTTTTGTAGTAATTTATGAGGGTACAGTGATGCGGAAAGTAAATGCATATCATTCATTGGCAGTTCTATTTATGAAAAATTATGTTGATAAATAATTTTTAGTCATATTTATTTGAATTTTTTACAAATACATATATACATATGTACGAATATGAAATAAAAGTAGTAAATAAGTGTCTTTTATTTTCTCCAAAATAAAGCATGCGAAGGAAACATTTAATTAAAGCATTTTCACATTTCTTACTTTTTTTCTTAACAAATTATATATATATATATATATATATATATATAATTATATATAAGTGTGTGTGCGTGTTAAATTCGAAATGGTTGAAATGTAAAAAACCTTTGAAACAAAATACAAGACTGATAAGCGTTCAAAATTATCAAGCAAATTCATTCCCATTCACTCTGCTTTAATTAAGTTTTGCTCATGACCTCAAAAGCTAGCAAAAGAGATAAGCTACCGCATAGTAAATTCTTATTATATGTATAAAACTGGTTATTCTACTTCTTTCCATATTTACAGCATCACTGCTTTGCATAATTACATAATTAAGCTTATAAATGCCTTCAGAAAAAGCGGTAGGTAGTTCAATGACCCCCCCAAAAGACATACAACTCTACAATTACTAACATTCGCAACTTTCTTTTATTACCACAAAAATCTTTAGCCATGAGTATAAAAACAATCATGTAGTTAGGCATTTACATATTCTAATAAATTCTATTAGCCTGAGCTTTTTATCTAACTACTAATGCTTAATATTAATAATAAATACATTCAAGCATACTATCTGCGTACAGCCGCAGTATGACTCTTTCGATATTCCATTAGTTTTTCAATGTATTCATTGTGGTTCTTGAGTGTGGCTAATAAGCCCTGATCATTAACAGCTGAACCGTGAGGCCCATAATCTATTAGCTCATCATTGAGATTCGTCATAACACCACCAAGCGCATTTAAGATTGCATCACCAGCACAAATATCCCATTTTTTAATTTTCGTTGAATGTAAATATGCTGTGGCATTGTTGGAAATAACTTGTAATACTTTATAACCAGCACCAGCAGCTGTAAGAATTTCGGAATTCTCTCCGAAAACGTTGCGTGTTAACTCTTTCACACTACCGGCGTGTGAACGTGAAACTGTTATAAGTGGTTTGGAAGTATCTGCATCTATGGGATGTATCGAATCCAAGTATTCAGACATTGAGTGATCCACCCATGCCCATGCAGTTTGCCCTATAAACGGGCTATGTATAACACCGATTATTGGCTTACCATTCACAGCAACGCACACCATGGTTGTTACATATTGATAAAGTTTTTCTGTAAATATTTTAATTTAATAACATTTATAAGAGTAAATTTATACAATCATACCTGTAAACTCCTGTGTAGCATCTAGAGGATCAATCCATACTGTGACGTCTTTTATATCTACTAACTCATTGGGCAGGACGGCTGTTTCATGTAACACTGTCGGATCTAAGTCGAATGTATTAACATTAGTACAACTTTCCTTATCCTCTTCCGAATATATTTTCACACGTGGAAATATGCGATGTAATCCTTCTTTCATAACACAATGCGAACGACCGTCGGCATCCGTGAATGGGTCATTTGCGCCCTCATCAGTTTTACCTTTACTACGCTCATTTAAATCGCGTGTACTCGCCACATCAAGAATTTCTACGCCACCACGTTGTGCTGCCTGTATGGCACCGATAAGTAATTTGCGTAAATTAACTTTATTTTGATTACGCAGCATACCATAGAGAGCAGGACGTTCATCCTGATGAAAATTTACAAAGTACACTATCAAAATTGTCACCAAAACAAGCGCTATAGTAGCGGGCACTCGATTTATACGTATCGTGCCCCCCATTTTCTCTCCACGTTTCGCGTAGCTCATAAGTAGAATACCCTATAAAGTCTGGATTCGATGGGAAAGTGTATTTGATGGCGTGTACAAGCCAAGTTACACCTGTTTGAACACAAATCAAAATAAATAAATCAACTACCAAATAGTAAACAAATAGCCGGACACGGGCGCCATCTGACGACAAATATGTTGACAGCTCTGTTCTAATTTGCAATATCGCCAACCATATGTCATACATTAATTGTGAATGATAGTAAACGTCCGAGGAAGAAGCAGCCAAAGTAGCTAAGGATTTGACACGTCAATTGTAATTTTCAGAATACATGTTTTCGCGTTTTATGAAAAATTAAATAATTCTTGCGTAAACCAGCCAAGATTTTAGTGTTGTCGTAATCTGTACCTACTGGTCGGAATACACAGTTTTAAAATATATATTATAATTAAGTGCACCAAGTAAACAGAAAATTGTTCGACAAACATGGCGTTGGCCGAGGGACCTTGCTATACAATCATCAACTCGCCGGACATTGAGGTGCCGAATGAGATGCAACTTAAACAAGACCTAGAAAAAGGCGATACCAATGTAAAAATTGAGACCCTAAAAAAAGTCATACAAATGCTCTTGAATGGGGAGCGTTTATCAGGTTTGATAATGACAATCATCAGATTCGTGCTGCCCGTGCAGAATCATCAAATCAAAAAACTATTACTCATCTTTTGGGAGATAGTACCGAAAACATCAGCGGATGGCAAACTGTTGCAAGAAATGATTTTGGTTTGTGACGCCTACCGTAAGGACTTGCAGCATCCCAATGAATTTTTGCGTGGTTCTACTCTTCGTTTTCTCTGCAAGTTGAAAGAACCCGAGCTTTTGGAACCACTTATGCCAGCCATACGCGCTTGTCTCGAGCATCGCCATTCTTATGTACGACGAAATGCTGTTTTGGCTATATTCACCATATACAAAAATTTCGATTGGTTAGTACCAGATGGTCCAGAGTTGATTGCTAATTTCTTGGAAACCCAACAAGATATGTCTTGCAAGCGTAATGCATTTCTAATGCTCTTACATGCCGATCAAGAACGTGCACTCAACTATCTGGCGTCTTGCATTGATCAAGTAAATAATTTCGGGGATATTCTGCAATTGGTCATCGTTGAGCTCATATATAAAGTTTGTCATGCAAATCCAACTGAGCGTTCACGTTTTATACGTTGCATTTACAATCTGCTGAACTCATCTTCGAATGCTGTGCGTTATGAGGCAGCTGGCACGCTCATTACACTCTCCTCGGCACCAACAGCTATACGCGCAGCTGCTAGCTGCTATATTGAGTTGATCGTTGGGGATAGCGATAATAATGTTAAACTTATCGTATTGGATCGTTTAATAGCTATGAAAGAAAATGAGAATATGGAAAAAGTGATGCAGGATTTAGTTATGGACATTTTACGTGTTTTGGCTGCACCGGATATTGAAGTGCGTCGCAAGACTTTAGCTCTGGCTATGGATTTAGTTTCATCGCGCAACATCGAAGAAATGGTGCTTGTATTGAAAAAAGAGGTGTCCAAAACACATAATGTTGAACATGAAGACACTGGAAAATATCGTCAGTTACTTGTACGCACCTTACATTCGTGCTCCATTAAATTCCCTGACGTTGCTGCCAATGTTATACCTGTATTGGTCGAATTCCTTTCGGACACCAATGAACTCGCAGCCGCTGATGTATTGATTTTCATACGTGAAGCTATACAGAAATTCCCATCACTACGAGCGCTCATAATTGAACGTTTAATTGAAGCATTCCCACAAATCAAATCTTCCAAAATACATCGTGCAGCAGTTTGGATCTTAGGTGAATATGTCGATAATAAGGAGCAGATATTGGAAGTAACCGAAGCTATTATACAAACTTTGGGTGAAATACCAATGGTCGAGGCTGAACAGAAGCGTCTAGCGGGTGAACAAAGTGATGAAGGTGAAAAACCCACTGGAGAGGGCAATACAAAAGTAGCTGGCAATAAAGTCACCTCAGACGGCACATATGCTACACAAAGTGCTTTTAGCTTGGCGCCGTAAGTTAAAATTATTATTTTTAAATTGAAAAACATAATTAAAGATATTTTTTTTTTTTCAAACAGTGTCGCAAAGAAGGAAAAACGGCCACCACTACGACAATATTTAATGGACGGTGACTTTTTCATTGGCGCTGCACTCTCAGCAACGCTTACTAAATTGGCCTTACGTTATGCAGAGTTGGAAGATGATGTGGTGAGTAATTAGTTATGCGATAATAACGGTTTGGTAATAGTTCAAACATTTCTTTTCAGCGTCAACAAAATCGTCTAACCACACAGGTCATGCTTATTATGAGCTCCATTTTGCATCTTGGCAAATCTGGCTTCCCAACCAAGCCAATCACTAATGATGACATCGATCGTATATTCATTTGTTTGCGTACACTAAGTGAACGCACTAAAGAAGCTGTGGAAGTGTTCCAACACTATTGCCGTGATGCTCTTGGAAAAATGTTAGATGCTCAACACGAAGAGGATCAACGTATTATGAAAGAAAAACAACGTGCTGCCGCCAAAGTACAACCAGACGATCCAGTTGCGTTTGCACAACTCTCTAATGGACGTGACAATCAGTTGGGCGAGAATGTTTTCGAAACTAGTTTGAATCAAGCGTTGGCTGGCACAAAATCCACCAATTTGAGCGATATAACTTCGCCAAATAATAAGCTAAATAAAGTTACACAACTAACAGGTTTCTCTGATCCTGTTTATGCAGAGGCTTATGTCAATGTCAACCAATATGATATCGTTTTGGATGTGTTGATTGTTAATCAGACTAGTAAGTGTTAAATATTGCAAAAGCAATTAAATTTACTAACTTTCCTTAATTCGTTTGCAGATGACACCCTACAAAATTGCACACTAGAGCTGGCCACTTTGGGCGATTTGAAATTGGTTGAACGACCACATCCTGTCGTTTTGGCGCCACACGATTTCTGCAATATAAAGGCAAATGTGAAGGTATCATCCACAGAGAATGGCATTATTTTTGGCAACATCGGTGAGTAAAACTTAAAAATACTATATAAATTAAAGAAAGGTATTAAATAAGCTAAACGAAAAACGCCTACAGTTTACGACACAAGCATCAATACAAATGTCGTAGTGCTAAACACCATACATATTGACATTATGGACTATATAATACCCGCTTCATGCACGGACACTGAGTTTAGGCAAATGTGGCAAGATTTCGAATGGGAGAATAAGGTAGATTTTATATATTTTGTTTAAAAAATAATAATAATCCACATTATCTGTGACTCCATAGGTTACGGTAAACACAACCTTCACCGATTTGCATGAATACTTGAAGCACTTGCTGAAGAGCACCAATATGAAATGTTTAACACCAGAGAAGGCGCTCAGCGGTCAATGCGGATTTATGGCGGCTAATATGTATGCAAAGTAAGTAGAAAATATAAACTGCTAAACTTGGTTAAGAAATTTAGACTAATTAAAAACTTTCTTAATTTTAGATCCATTTTTGGAGAAAATGCACTGGCCAACTTAAGTATTGAAAAACCTGTAGATGATCCCGATTCCAAGGTCACCGGTCACATACGTATACGCGCTAAAAGCCAGGTATTTTTTTATGAAATACTATAATTTATTATATATTGTAACAAAATTGTATCTCTCATCCGAACAGGGTATGGCTCTTAGCTTAGGCGATAAAATTAGCTCATCACAAAAACAGTCGGTGCAAGCTGCTTAAATGCTGACAGGTGTAACTGTTCTTATTTCTATAGTTTGAGCTTCTAGTATGTTAATTGCATTCATTTGCTGAATTGAGCATTTCACAGTTAGTGCATTACAATGTGTAAATGATATCTCTTTGCAATTTATTTAATTAATATCTATTTTGTATGTAATTTCTTTGTGTTAGCTAAATTTACGCACACAAAGTACTATGTATCATCTAATGTATGTTTGTAAAACTATCTATTATTTAGTATATCATTGGTATGAAGTTTGCAAAGAAGAAATGTTTAAAATTTCAACTATTTAATAGTAATTTCAACTTTTTTTTCATTAACTAAATCGCATGTACGGCAAATATAAATTTGGAAAAAGATGTGCACCATACACCGATTACTACTTACATACATATATACATATTTGAACCATAAAAATATATAAATGTATAATTTAGAAAAGTAATGAGAATTTTTATTCAACTAAAAGTCAAATGTGCTGCTGCCTGTCATGCAGCATAGAGTTTCATAACGGGCATTGCAGCAGAAAAAGACTGGAGGCACAACGCATGTGAGTGCTCTGCTAAACGTGCTCAACGTATGACTCATATGTAGTTCAACTCCCCGAGTTGCCCGACTAAAATTTATATACTGTTGTGCTGCAGCTACCCACCTTAAATACCTTCCGTCCATAGCAACCTATCTTATGAGAGCGCCATGTAAATGCAAAGTGGTCACCTCTTATTGTTGTTGTTGTTGTAACAACAAAAATATTCCCCAAAGTACTTTTTGGGGGATATTGCGGGAGTCCTTGGCCGGATAAAAATCCGGGTCATTCCGCTATAAAGACTCGACTGTCGCAGGAACTATTGATATTAAGTCGCTTCTTATGACCGGCATGCCTTACCGCGGGTAAATTCTTGAACCCGTAACCCGCTTTTCGATGCCGTTACTGACGGTTGTCCTGCAGAAAATACTCATGTTTTTATAATCTAACTACAGTCGGGTGTTATGGCTGTGCGGTAAGTAAGATGGGTAATTGCAGCAGCTGATTTTAATTTTCTTTTCATTCCGTTACAACTACGAGGGTGATTTCAATCTATTACTTTTTCGAAAACATAAATCAACTAACGGCAACTCTATTTAATCAGCTGTTCTTATTGTTTACATGAATTTCTGTGAATCTGTAAGCTCAACGAGCTCCAACTGGCACTTTGGGGAAAGTGGAGCAGTCGTACTTAAGGCAGCATAGCAGCAACTACTAAAAATATCAAAAAAACATAACTTAAAGTCTGAGTGAAATTAGTTACTCGAATTATATATTAATATTTGGATACTTAAAAATGTTTATTGAGACATGTATTGCACCTGTGAATATTGCGCTAATTAAATATTGTAAGTGGACTTTTTCAATGAAACAATTCTTATAAGGAAATAAACATTCAACCATTTGCACTTTCACTAGGGGGCAAACGCGATGAAGAACTTATATTGCCTATCAACGACTCGCTCAGCGTGACCCTTAGCACCGATGAAGTAATTTCCATTTGAATACATACATATATATAAATAATCTTTTCTTATGGAAATTCATTTTAGATGTGTGCCAAGACAACAGCAGCTGCTGCTGCATCTTTTAAGCGACACATTATGTGGTTGAATGGTGAAGAAGTGCCGTTCGAGCAAAATCCACGGGCAATGCGTTGTTTAAAAGAGAGTAAGTGTACATCTTTTAAGGAGATTGTTATATTTTATATAGCTGATTCCACGCATTATAGTACAACAACTTGCATTGGCAAAAGAACAACTTAAATTTCCCATCGAGTGGAAGTTGCACATTGTGTCTCGCAACAATTTCCCCACTGCCGCAGGATTAGCATCGAGCGCAGCCGGTTACGCTTGCCTAGTCTATGCATTGGCACATCTGTATGGTGTACAAAAGGAAGAATTAACTGCAATAGCACGCCAAGGTAGTGGTTCTGCTTGTCGCAGTTTGTACGGTGGTTTCGTGCGCTGGCATATGGGCAAAAGCAATGACGGTACTGACTCCATCGCACTGCCTGTTGCACCGTGTGAACATTGGCAAGATTTACATGTGCTCATACTGGTCGTAAATGATGCACGCAAGAAGACTAGCTCAACAAAGGGTATGCAACTTGCTGTAGAAACTTCCGATTTAATAAAATATCGTGCACAATATTGTGTACCTCAACGTACTGCAGCTATAGTAGATGCCATTAAGAATCATGATTTCGCAAAACTAGCGGAAATAACTATGCGCGATTCGAATCAGTTTCATGCAATTGCTTTGGATACGTATCCACCATGTGTGTACATGAATGATGTATCACATGCTATTGTGGAGTTTGTACATGCTTTTAATAAGGCAGTTGGTGAGGTGAAGCTGGCATACACTTTTGATGCTGGTCCAAATGCTTGCTTGTATTTGTTGGAACGCGATGTGAGCATTGTATTGGCAGCAATAAAAAATAGTTTCCCAAATGATGCGGAGCAGAGTGTGGAATACGTAAAGGGCATACCGATAGCCTGTGATATAGGAGAAGTGAGTAAAACACATTATGTAAATACCTGCTGTAAATATTAATTGTATTTCGATTTTTTTTATTTTCAGAAGAACGGCTTCAACGGCAATGCCACATTGCCTATTAATAATAAGAATCTTTTTAAATATATCATACATACGCGTATTGGCAAAGGGCCGCAACGTCTCGGCAAAAGCGAAAGCCTTTTAGATAGCAGTAATGGTTCACCGCTAAACAATTAAAGTTAGCTTTGGGCTTCTTTTTCATAGTACTTCCACATCAACAATACCGGTGCATTATCGTGACAATAAGGGTATATAGACTTTGTAGCTCGGAATATCAGCGAATATTTTGTAAACGCATATATTTAGCTTTAGGATAGTTATAATGCATTCTTGTATTACAACTACAAATAGTAAAATTATTATATAATAAAGTAGCTTAATAGAAAAAAATAAAAATGTATTGCAGTGTCCAGTGCTGCACGCTTGAACGTATTAACAATATTTTCCACAGTTATAAAAACATATATGTACTATATGTAAAAAGAAATATTCAAGTAATATTGCTCTGGAGTTTTTAATTTATTGTAATGATATTAATTTATATAAATTAATTGCAACCGTAATAAAATAAAATCAATAAAAATAAATTCATATCAAACGAAGATAGGTGAAGAAATATTATTACTTTTTATCTACACCTTCGAAATTGAAATTGTATATACAGTCAATATGCCCTTCATGCTTTAGCACAATTAGTCAACCTTTTCAAGGTATTTTAATTGACATATCTTTTTTGTTTATAAATAATACAAATAATGGAAACGTAATTTTTCACGGTAAGGCAATCGTTTTCTTTTTAAAATTAAATTAAATGCACACTAAATGATATGATGTGGACATTAGGAGATCACTCCACTCGTCAGCAACAAGTTTCAATTTTAGTTTTTCGGTGGTTGAAATTCAGAGGGTGAAAAATATGCAATCTAATTGATATAACGTAATTCTGTGATAATTGTAATGTTAATTTATATGCGTTTACTAAATTTATTTAATTTATTTTCCACAGAAATATTTCCGTTATCAGCGTGGCCAAATATTACATATTATTTAATTAAAATCCGGATGCAACAATTAAAATCAAGTTTCAATAAAAAAAACCGGAAATCCCCTTTAATTTCCGGTCGTTATCAGTATTGAAAATTTCGTAGCGTTGCTTTCGTAGTTAAATGAGTTATAACAAAAAATTGCTGAAAATATAAAACCATGGGTAATACATAAGAGTAGATAAATATTTATAAATTAATAAATAAAATTAATTATGTAAAGCAAAACTAATGAAATACTGTTAAAAGCTTGGCAAGCCTATTTGTACTTCAATACCCCATTCGCTTTGTCGTTTTGTTTTCATACCCAATTCGCACAAAAAATACACCAATCAGCTGATCCAAAGCTGCCACTCAAAATAACAATTAATTGAAAAAAAAGAACTATTTGTGATTAGTTAAGCAGAATTTCATTATTATTTATCAATATCATCTAGAAACAATAACGAAACTTCCACAGTAAGTCCTGGCGCTTATGGCCTACAAATTCTTGCAAAATTATACCTGAGGGACTTTTCTCGACAAATCTAAACTCATTAACGTCAAAATTTTATACACATTTTTCAAAACTTTTAGCCATTTAATTTACTATTCACTAACATCTGGTAATGTTGCTCACACTAAGCACACGCACACAAACGTGAGCTTGAAAACTGATTCGTTCGTGTCATTAATTGGTAGAACGGGAAGAATACGAAAAATATTTCATTTCTCGGTCAGAAACCTTTTTTTATAGAACACAGCTCGTTATAAAAAGTGGAAAATTACTTAAAATTTATAGTGTTTAACGTTAATAGGAGAAGTGCGTAAGAATGTGCAATTGGTAAAGAATTTTTCGTGTGTTAAAAATTGCTATACAAGAAAAATCAGAAGTTTTACAGAATGACGAGTTAGCTAGTGATGACGGTGACGGCAACGGCGGCGATGAAGGCGAATGCCAGCGCTAACGTTGTCACAAACGGCTGGTTGGCTAGCTGCTGCTGGCTTGAAAATAACAATAGCATTGGCAGTGGCAGTGGCAGCAACTTGTGATTTGTGTTGTTTAATTATTGCCTGGCAGCTTGTATAATGATACAGGCTGCAACGACGCCGTACAATGAATGCAGCAGCCAAAAAGAAGAAAATTAAAAAAAAAAAATACAAAATCGGTGATGGGTATACGTGTGCGGTGCAGTCGAGACATCAGAGAATGTGAATGATCTACAAGCAGACAATGTACAATATGGATATGTATATATTTACATATTAGTATGTTTGTACTTTAACAAAAGAAACATTTAGTCGCTATCTTGATATTATAATTCTTCCTGACTGGATTCCAGAAGAAATGATTAGCACTTAATACACTATGGGGAAAGGTGTTTTGCTTAAGTATGGCTTTTTTACAGAAATAGTAGCGGTAAAAGTGAAGAGCAATGTTGTAGTGTTTAAAGAAAAAAACTTTCACTACAATCCCTTCAAGTTCAGTACCGATTGGTACTGTTTTACCTTTGTGTCTAAATATATTCAACAAACTTTTTAGGAAAAATTTTATAAAAATTCTTGTAGCGGGAGAGTTATTGTGTTTTGAAATTCGTTAAACATCTATCACCAATGAGAAAGAAAATATATAATATACATATATAGAATTCACTCCGATTTTACTACCATATATGCATACATAAGAGTACATATTTTCTACACATAAATAAGTAGGTAAATACTTCAATCTGTATCATTTCTGGTTCACGAACGATCGCAACCATGAGTTTATAACTTAGCTTAACATCAACGAAATATTAAAAAACGATGAAAAATGAGTACAATGACAACTTGACTCAATATTGACGGTCAGGTTCAAGTTCCACTTATGGCATTTCTAATATAAATGTGTTCTAATACAAATAGGTTTATGTATATTTGCGCATATACATACATATCTTCTTAAAAACATTTACGTATCAAACATATATAAAAAACCGCCAGTCAATTGGTAGTTAACCCTTTCACGACATAGGCCTTTGCGTTTCTCCGTCGATCGCAACAACAGCTGTACGTAATATACAATACTTGTTTTTCTTACAATTTTGAAGTATAGAACTTATCATTCTCACTTAGTAAAGTATTGAAAGCACAAAATTCTACAATTTGAATTTTGTTTACATTTCGGAGAGTAGAAAAAGTGAGCAATATTTGTTAGAAAAAACAGTTGCAAGTCAAGCTTTTAGAAAGTAACCACGCAGTTATTAAAAGATTTATTTATGTTTGTACATTTTTTGTATTTATTCAATAACATTTTGCTATTGCTCCATTTGAATTTGAGGTTACTGCGTTTTTAATGTGGGCTTGCAAATTTGTATAGATAGGTACATACATACCTACTAATACTAATGCTTGTTTTTATTAAATTTGTTTTCACATTTTCACTTATTTATTTATTGTTTTGAGTGCCAACCATTGCTTACCCAAATAATGACGTGTTCCAAAATCACATTTTATACAAATTTACCTACAAATTTATGTACATATGCTAATCTTCCATGGTTTTTAGCTAGTTTTATTACGATTTTTGCTTTTTTTTTTTTTTTCATTTGTTTGTTTAACCACAAATGGTTGTCGACGAATTCAGTGCTTATGTACAAGTATCTTGGTATGGTTTTCTAGCTATTCACGGGCTAAGGGGTGATAACAATTGAATAAGTGTGAAAAGATTTGAATTCAAATTTTTGTGTTTACATTGAATTTTTGCGAGTTTTATCGCCTTGGAAGTGTTTCGATTTTTTTCCTTTTTTCTTTGCATTTTATGTTGAAAATTAAGTAGGAGAGCTTGGTCTTTTTAACGACCGAATTTTTTTTTTTTTTTTTTTGATAACTTTCAAGAACATGAACCTATAAAAATGTGCAGTTGAATTTATTAAAATCATAAACAGATTTATTGAAAAAAAAAATACTTAGCCGAAGATAAAGCTTATTCTTGTTTCACCTTGTCTATGGTGGAGGCTTATGAGTAGTCTTTGAGTTTTATTGTATTGGATAAAATACTATTTAAATGGCACATCCCTGTTGGATTACCGATATAGATTTCAGTTCCTCCGGGCACACCGCTACTGTAAGAGAAGAACACAGACCTAGGTTCGCCGGTATACCTTTGATGTTATAATTATAAGAGAGATGTTAGAAAAGAAGAAAAATTCGATTTCTGGCATAGCAGAGTATTATTTCCTTCATTTCTAAATTTCACTGTGTATTCTTCACTTTGCTTTTTTAGCAGATCATTTTGCTGAAATGTTAAGAAAATACGAAAATGTGAAGCTAACATATTTACATATGCATGACCATATGTGAATTAAAAAAGTGCCTAATTAAGTTTGCAAAATTAGTGATTCACCCTGAGTTATGCAGCTACTTACATACAAAAAAAAAAAAAACAAAAAGAAAGATACTTCGATTTTAAATATTTTTAGCAACTTAGAAATGTAAGAAAGCGTAAGTGTTTCTTTGTGCAAATTATGATATGAATGGAACAGTTATAAATATTGTTGCTGTATATTATAAATATTTTTATATATAATAATAAGTGTATAAATGCCTTGCTTCTGTAGTATATTATATGAATTGTATGTAGGTATGTAAATAAATATTTCATGCACATACAAATATATGTATATAATTTTCAATATATAAATGAGCAGTAAATATTACTTACGATACGCTTAAAGTTCGACTGCCTCGAATAAAATAATATAATATGGGAATATTGTTTGACACATGTGTAAGCACATACATATGTACATATGTAATATAAATATTGCATGAAATAATTATTTATGTAAGCAAAAATACAATTATTATTTATATGTATGTATGTACATAAAGCACACATACTATAGGTATTTGTAAACAATTATGTATAAAGATGCGCTCTTAGAGAATTAATTAAGTATTAAGCTTGTAAATATGACGCCAAATTAAGAGAATTCTTATTAAGCTTGTAAGTAGGAGCTGCACCAGAAGGGAACAATTTGATTGTTTTCGAGCATGTATTTAGAATTAGAAACCAATGGGACGTCAATACGGAATGAATTTTTTTAATACTTAAATGTACATATTTATATATACATACATACATACAGACACAAAACTATATATGTATTTATTGGGCTTAGCTTTTCTCGCGCTCAAACACGATCGTATTGTCAATTGTGCCCGCTTGACTTCTCAAAAATCATACTCATATTGATTGTTATGGCTTTTTCATATATATAAATTTTTGCTTACACTTATACACTGTTTGTATGTATGTAGATACATATATGTATTTGTATGTATTTATGTAAGTGCTTGCGTGTAGTACTCACTTTTTTACATTACCAATTTTGCAAGCAAATGTTTGTACACAACTAATACATATGTATGTACATGTACCGAAGTATGTAAATATCCAAATACGTACAGGTATCTTTGATTGTTATTTTTATTTATTTTTTTCTTTTTTTTTTACAATTTTTTTTTGTGTATAATTTTTGTGCGCGTGCTTGTGCGCGCAAGTAAGCAACACCAACGACATACCGGCTGCTCACAGTACACCGCCAGTCAGCAGATAACAAACAAGACAATCGAACGTATGTACGGCCGCAATCAAGTGAATACGGAACAATTTGTGGTTTAAATCAGCTTTTCATACATGCATACATACATACATACATACATGCGTGTGTGTAATATTCTTTGCAATTTTTCATACGAATTTGAATTTTCGGCTTTAAACTTCAGGCGAACGGGGAAAAAATTGTACTAAAATACGTAAATGCAGTCAATCTAATTTTGACTTACTGTAGTTGTTGTTGCAGTAATGATCTACTAATAATTCAGCGAAAATGCTGTACTTGAAATTTGCGCTATTTAATCATACTCTAAGCTGTTGAGTAACAAAAACACACATACCAAGGAACGCAGGCAACGCGCACAATACGTCAGGAGATCGGCGTATGACACTAAGGTCAACTGGTCGCCAAGTGCACAACGGCAACACATACACACGCACATACGCACACACGCATAGAGAGAGTCAGTGTCAACGTTGGCGTATTTGTCATTTTGTAAAATTTCAACTTTCAACAATTTTCCCCATTTTTATTGCAAATTTTTGTTATGCATACGTGCATACATACATATATATATATATGTATGTACACATATTTTTAATTAATTCAAAATCTTTAACTTTTTTTCTTGCATTTCTCCACAGGTAAACGTTATCAGCTCGTTTTCATCTAATTCAAACCAATCTAAATATTAATTGTGAACAAAATTTGGTGTTGTTGCTGTTTTGAAAAAAAAAACCACTTTAACTGCACACTTGTTGGTGGGTGTCAGCGTGAATAGTGCGGCATAAACAGAGGCAGCATGCAGCGTAAACTGTTGCTCTACTCTTTGCTCTTCTTGGCTGTGACATCGCAAAAATGCCATGTAGTGGAGAGTGGTGGACCGCCCAGCGATACTATGGGCGCAATAGCCGCATCTCGTTACAATGCAGAACAGCAGCAGCAACAACAGCAACAACAACAGCAACAACAACAGCAACAACATTTGCATACAACAACCCATCATCCAGGCAGCGCCAGTGCTGGTGGTGGTAGTGGTGGTGTCAGTGTCAGTAATAGCGGTGCGCCGGCGCCCACTGCACCGCCTGCTGCCACACACGCTTCATACCATCCATCGCCATCGGGCAGTGGGCACATGGAGCATCGTAATTCATATAATCTGCTAAGTGAAGCCATGTCACAGGCTGTCAGTAATGAATTCAGTAAGTACACAAATACACAGATACCTATATGTATGTATGTAGATATACGAGTATGTATCTGTAAGTATATACAGTGCATATAAAATTGTCGGAAGTGCAGCAATTTGCTTCCTTAGTGTGATATCATCTACTTTAAAACAATATGCGTGTGCCAGGCTTAGGAATTTCATACAAAGCTTTTGAAATTTATGATCGCTTTGTAATATTTCATTTCTTTATTTCCTACCAAATTTATTTTTAAATCGTTAAGTACATCAAATCTCGTTACACTATATTTTATGAGGCACATCGATTTATTGCACTTGCGAAAGGGCATAAAAACCCGCAGCAGCAGCAGCAGCAGCAGCAACAGCATGTGACGTAACGCTCACAAAAAATGAAATCATTAAAGATTAATTACATGCAATTTGCAAACAAACAAATCAAAAAAAAAAAAGCAACAAAAAAAAAGAAACAACGAACAAAATGAAAGTCATAATGTGATAATATCTTGCTGCTTGCTTTAATTCATGAAACTGATAATTATAAATATAACATTTAAGGTGCGAAATGCATATGGCAAACGATTTTGTTCCCGATAAATTTACAACGATTGACGCACGCACGCATTCGAAGAGTACACTGTTGTCTTTTTTTCTTCTTTTTTTTCTTTTCTTTTGTGCTTTTTTTTGTAAGAACACGCATTGAGCAGCTGTGCTCTGCTGCGGTAGGGATGCACCCAAATGAGCAGAGCATTGCTGTACAAATAACGTGGTTGGGATTTGTTTGTTTTTTTGGTAAAACTTGACAACTTCTTAAGAAAAGAGGCGTGTTAAGTGATATCCCGCTAAAATATTCCGATTAAAAAGAAATATAAATAAAATAAAAAATATCGGTATAAAATTATTTACTTTTGAACAAAATTCGTACATACATACATAAAAACAATTAAAAATCTATCGCTACTGTATCAAAATGCAATTAAAATTTTAAATTAAAGCAGGAAGCTGCTTTGCCGTGGCGTATGAGTGTTTAGTTGCTTTTTTTTTTTGGAAGCGTGGCGTATGAGTAACCTATTCACGCATAACTCAATTATAGTAATAATAGTTAAATAAATTATGCATATTATTCAATTTTACGTAATTTTTTAATTTTGTATGTACGTTTATTGGTTAATTTTTTCTCAATTTAAATAGATGCTTTAAGTAGACCGTTTTTAATTTCTTTATGTATGCAATAGCAGGATAGTTAGGAGTGCATACTGCCATTCAGAAGGCAGGGTTCGAGTCTTTGTCCGACCAACATCCAAATTAATGAAAGATAATTTTTCTAATTGCGGTCACCCCTCGGCAGAGAATGTCTAGCACTGCTAGTGTATTTCTAACATTAAAAAAGCTCCACATAAAACTCCATCAGCCGCTTTCATAGATACCCTTGTACTTATGGCCGGGAATTTGGCCAATCGATTTTCCAAGCTTCTCTTGAGACAATTTCTTTACAAGCCTATTTTTCACCAGACAGACAGACAAAAAAATACATTCCTATCAATCAGTATTGGATTGGAGCCCAATTGTGCCTGCTCACTGCCTTTCGACCACGACCGTTTTTGTCTGAAGTTGCTGTAAGTGAACCACTTTTCATCACCAGTCACCATCTACTTCAGAATGGGTCGATTCAGCAGCGACTCGTAGATGGAAAATTGGTTCATGAGGTTATTTTCTATACATGGAACTTCTTTCTGTATTCAACCTTTTTCCAGTGGTTATAAGCTGTGCAATATTTACCATCTGAGCATTAGAAATAGTTGTATTAAGTTTTGTGTAAAAAAATAAAATTCAATGCGCTAGCACATTTGAAATTTTGACTGTGGCGTGGCGTGGCGAGTCTACTATGACCAGAACACAAGTTCAATTGTCGTATAACCAATTCAAGTAAGACCGAGAAGATGTCAATGATAATGCTTGACCTGGTCGCCCGAGTACGTCAACAACCGATGAAAATATTGAAGCTGTGATGAAAATGATTTTGGGAGTTGGTATATCGTTCGGCTCAAGTCAAGCAATTTTTACGGAGGTTTTAGGCATGAAACGTGCGGCAGAGAAGATTGTTCCAAAAGTTTTTGGCCAAAAATAAAACCGTTATCATGCCTCAACACCGTATTCACTGCACTTGAACACCGCTGACCTTTTCCTCTTTCCAAAACTAAAGCCACCACCGGTAAAAGGAAAGCGTTTTGCTACGATTGAGGAGATAAAAGAAAAATCGAAACAGAAGCTATTGGCGATACCAAAAAACATTTCAGAGGTGTTTTGGGGATTGGAAAAAATGCTGGAATAATTGTATTATATCTGAGGGAGATTACTTTGAAGGGAAAAAGATAGTTAATAATAAATAAATAAATACTTTTTCAAAAAAATGAAAATAACGGTTATTTTCTGATCACACTTCGTATGTTTTTATGTAAAATTTGAATATATATAATTTCATCCTTTTTTTTTTGATAAGAAAGAAATTTGTCTTCTCCGCGCCTTTAAATAATTATCAGTTTTCACAATAAGAAATATGTGAAAAATCTGTATCCAATTAAATCATAAACAAATGTTTACTCATATGAATACACCCAATATATGTATGTATATACATGATTGGGTTGGTAAACGCTTTAATCTATGAAAAAACAAAGTCTGTATATTTCAATATAAATTAATTAATGATACTCGACAGTTATGATAAGATCGAATTTTTATGGCAATTCGTGAGAGGTGTGTCTACCTTAAAAATAGCTTTGCATTACGAATTAAGGATTGTGTTTGCGCCAAAAATATGTATAGATGATCTAAATTTTAAATTGACCTTATAATAGTTATTACAATTTTTACTTTTATTTTATTTTATTTTATTTATTTTTTTTTTTAAATATATAATATATCCTTTGATTCACCCATGTGAAGGCAGGAAAAACTTTCTAGCTTGCGCCTGTTTTATAAACTATAAACTATTCCATATTCACTTACACTTGCACACGCGCTAACGGAAATAAACTCTGCTTAACCATAGGTGACTCCCGCGCTTTTGTTTTCGTTGTTTATCTGAAGTAAATTGAATACTCCAAATTCTTATTTACGATTTGCTTACGCATTTGTCGTCGACAAACAGAGAGGAATAAAAAAAATACATATGTATATAAGTAACCGAAATATTTTTTTTTTATTGTTGGATTCGCAGAAAAATAAAATTCCAACTGAGATTTTCTTGTGGCTGTTTTTGTTTTTTTTATCAATTGGGTGGTAAATTCCGCTATCACAATTTGTATTTGCCTTTACTTACTTTTTTCTTTGGAGCAATAAATGTTTATCTCCGTGCATTTAATTATTATTATAAATACATATGTATGTATGTGCAAATATATGTAGAAAAGTAAATATGTTTGGTACCTAAATAAATTTGCTTGTAAAATTATACTCGCTCATACCATACATATGTACAGATATACTCATATATATATATGTTTACCGGCATCCCACTTAGAATGCAGATCGCTATAATTTTATTAATATATATATATATATGTATACATATATATTCAATATATTTCTTTATCTTTCTGATAAAACAGGTTCATTGGGCAGTGGTTCAGCGGATGGTGCTTGTCATGCAGACGATTTGGATTGTTATAGTGGAAATGTGCAGGATCGCTTGGGTATGGAGGCTATACGTACGCTGCATCGTCAACTTGATGATGACGACAATGGCAATATTGATTTGAGTGAGTCGGACGACGTAAGTACATACACACATACATACGTACATGTACATCAAATGCAGTTGTTCAAAGAATTTTTTTTATAAATAAAAGCATGCACATACACATACATATAATACATATAAAATACATATGTATGAATGCAATAAGTTGTGTTAAGTAATTGCTTTAACTTCTGTGTTGATTTGATCTCTTTCAATGATTTTTTGTTCCCTTTTTTTCTTGCTCTTAGTTCTTACGTGAGGAACTCAAATATGATTCTGGTTATGAGAAACGTCAGAAAGCGTTCCATTTTAACGATGATATGCATATATCGGTGAAAGAGTTGTGGGAGGCGTGGCTGCGTTCGGAGGTGGGTTAAAGTGGAATTCAATTCATATATATGTAGATAGTGAAATATATGTTCCAACTTTTTATATTTCCGTATATGCATTTCGATTCACCAATCTATTTAGGTGCATAACTGGACTATGGAACAAACGACAGACTGGCTGGCACAATCAGTGCAATTACCACAATATGTTGAGCTATTTCGTGCGCATAAAGTGACTGGTGCTACACTGCCAAGGTAAGGTTTTTACTTTTATAATTTTTTTTTAAGATAACGCGTGTGTTAGAATTCGCATATCAGAAATGTACATGCATACATATATATACAGGTATTTACATAACAAAATTGTATACTAATAAAGACTGACATTTGAATGCTAAACGTACATTAGTTGAAGGTTTTGACAACAGAACGATGTATTTGATGAGCGCACACAGCAAACAACTCGAGCTCAAAAAAAAGTTTCAACTCTCCCTGTACTTTTCCAGCAAGTCATGATTTAATATCAACTTGAATAAATGATAGAGGTTCACAAATAAATAATAAATTTTTATATATATATGTATATCCAAACATATAACGATGGAAAATTAAAAATAAAAATAATTACTAAAAAAAAATGTGTAAACAATATTAACCAAGTATAATAAAATAAAAAATATAAACCTATAAAAAAATAAAAATTATTAAAACAATATAAAAAAAATAAAATAATGAAAATATAGAAAAATATCAATATAAAGAAAGAAAATATGAGAAAAGTAAAAATATTAAAATATTAAAAACTAAAAATATAAAAACAAAAGAAACTGTATGAAGAAATAATAATATGAAAAATAAAAAAAATTAAGTAAAATTATTAAAAAAAAGATTTTAAAAATTAAAAATATAAAATAATAACAATACATAACAGAATAAATATATAGAAAAAGAGAACTAAAAGAAAATTAAAACTGTAAAAGTTAAAAAAATAAAAATATATAAAAATAAAGATTAAAAAAATTTAAAAAATAAAAAAGTTAAAAAAGGGGAAAAATAATGTAAAAAATAAAATGAAAAATGAAAGTAAAAAATAAAATGCAAAACGAAAGTAAAAAAAAAGAAAAAATAAAATTAAAAAAACGAAAAGAAAGAAATAAATAAAATGAAAAATGGAAAAGACAGAAATAAAATAGAAAAATAAATATAAAAATGAAAAGAAAAAATAAAACTCAATACTAAAAAATAAAACAAAAATAAAAACAAAAAAACAAAAAATTAAAGCAAAGATAAAATAAAAAGGAAGAATAAAAAAAAAGAATAAATGAAATTAAAATAAAAATAAAAATTAAAATTAAAATTAAAATTAAAATTAAAATTAAAATTAAAATTAAAATTAAAATTAAAATAAAAATTAAAATAAAAGAAAAAATTTAAAAAATAAAAGAAAAAAACTAAATAAAAAAATTAATAAAGTAAAAGAAAAAATAAAAAAATGAAAAAAATAAAAAAATGAAAAAAATAAAAAAATGAAAAAAATAAAAAAATAAATAAAAAAAAGAAAAAATAAATAAAAAAAGAAAAAAAATAATAAAAAAAGAAAAAAAAATAAAAAAAAGAAAAAAAATAAAAAAAGAAAAAAAAATAAAAAAAGAAAAAAATAAATAAAAGAAAGAAAAAAAAAAATAAAAAAAAGAAAAAAAAATAAAAAAAGAAAAAAAGAAAAAAAAAAATAAAAAAAGAAAAAAAAGAAAAAAAAAAATAAAAAAAGAAAAAAAAATAAAAAAAGGAAAAATAAAATAAGAGGAAAAAATTAAATAGAAATAAAAAAGAATAAGAGCTTTTTGCTTTTATTAAAACAAAAAATAGAATAAAAAAGGAAAAAATTAAAAGAAAATTGAAAAGAAAGAAAATGAAAGGAAATAAATAAAATAAAATAAGTAAAGGAAAAATTAAATAAAAGAAAATAATAAATAAAAGAAAAAATGAAAAGAAAAAAAAATAAATAAAAATAATAAAAACAAAAAAAAATAAAAACAAAAAAAAATAAAAAAATAACAAATATAAAAAATATAAAAAAATTAAAAAACATGAACAGAAAAAAATTAAATAAAGATGTTATCAAAATAAATAAATAAATAAAATAAAAAAACAGTAAAATAAAAATAAAAAAAATTTAGATATTAAAATATAAAAAAATATAAAACTACGGGAACCTTAAACACGAGTTAAATATTTTGTAACAAAAATTATTATTAGCGAAAAATTAAATTTCCTTTTTTATATTTTGGGGTATACTATTTTTTGTTTAGAATTTGCTAAGCTAACAGCTTCGAAGTTGTATCTGCAATTTTAATATTTTCATTGTTCGGAAATATTTTTGAATTTACGTAAAATGCCTTTTTACATCTCAGAAATCTACGTGTAACCACCGAAATTTATAACTCCAACACCTGCTATATGCTGCTTTGCTGTCAAATACACTTACATGTATGAAAATAAACACATTTGATAAATATTCATCCGCCTAGATTGATGAAATCTCGTTGCACTCGTGGACTCATGTGCAAATAAATATTGTAAAATAAATAAAAGAAGTTGACAAGCTTTATTAAAGATCTATAAACAGCTATTTGTATGTGTTATTTTAATGAAAAAAAACTATAATTTCCTCTTTTCATTCTTTTAATTACGGTAAAACTCTATAAAATTCCATTAATTTATTGCATATTTGAAAATAATTGCCAATTTAACTATCAGCGCGTGATTCGTTAAAGTAATGGCGCTTATCTCTCTCATATATCATACATGTAATCACAAAATTATTTACAAAAAATGGAACTTTAATGATTTTTTGTGTAGAATAAAGTGCTATATTTAATTTATAAGAAAATGGAAGCATAAATAAAATAAAAATAACAATTACATTGACTTTTTAGTGATTTATATTTTGATATTATTTACTTTTAACCGAATTGAGTTTGTTCACTCAAAGAAAAGCTAACTAATATATCTTTGTTTGCGCCATGTACTGCTACCTCTCTATGTAAAATATTTGTACTGAGCTAAATTTCGTATGTGACCTGCAGAAATTTTTTTTTTGTCTGAAAAGTATAGTAATTGCCAATAACGCCAATTTTCCAAAGCTATCAGGCAGGTGTCCAAATTGTAATTATTTTTATATAAAATAAATATATCAGCTGAATTTTTGCTTATAACAACGGCGACCCGTCATCAGCCAGGGAAGTACAACATTATTAACCGACTGACTAATTGACTGACTGACATAATGTCGGCGTTCCACAATTGGAATCGCCATACACAAATCTAACGGCAATAATAAGGTTGGCATAGAATTGTCATAAAATAGGTAAGCAACGAGCAGGTAATGACTTTCATTAATAACACATACATATAGCGGTGAGATTTTTTTTTTTTTTTTTTTTTTTTTTTTTTTTTTTTTTTTTTTTTTTTTTTTTTTGTAAGCTAAGTTTTTGTATACAATTGATGACAATGGTGGAGTAGTATTGGTTTGTAACGTGCAATTAAAGCAACAAGTGCTCTGTGTCGTGTTGTACACAGCGAAAAAGTGGGCGCACACTTAATGGCTGATTGTGTGAATCCAGATAGATTTTTATTTACAATATAATATTTTGTATGTATGCACACATATAAGTATGTATATGCAATTTAAATCATTGAAATAATTTTTGTGTGAAGTTAATAAACTTTCAGCTAACTTTTTTTCTTTTTGCAAACTACAATACAATAATTCCCATAAAAGTGGTGAGAGCAAAAACAGTAGCTAAAAAAAAAAATCAAATGAAAGCTTAAACATTTGTAGATGCGCGTTTGGCCTTCAAATTTGCTCATCTCATAAAAAAACAGAAAAAAAGCCAACAACAACAATAAACAATTTTAGCTATGTATAAACTTCTCGCAATTTTTAGTACACTATGACACGCTGAACGTTTCGTTGGTTTTCGCTTTATTTACAGATTGGCAGTAAATAATATGCATTATGTGGGCAATGTGCTGGGCATAAAGGATCCCATTCATAAGCAGAAAATTGCGCTCAAGGCTATGGATGTTGTGCTTTTCGGACCGCCACGTGGTATGATGCATTTGCATTTCGTTCTTTCATTATATCACTACTAGTAAACAACTATTTATGTTTATTTATTTATTTTTGTTTTGCAGAAACTGGTACACGTTGGAAGGATTATATTTTAGTGACCCTATTACTTAGTGCTATTATTGGTTGTTGGTATGCATATCAACAGAATAAAAATGCAAAAAGACATTTGCGACGTATGGCTCAGGATATGGAGGGATTACAGCGTGCCGAGCAGAGTTTACAGGAAATGCAAAAGGTAAGGCTCGCAGAAAATTAGTAGTTGATTTTTCAATTGTTGAAAGCGTGTTTTATTTGGATTATCATAAATCGGCTTAGATTATTCGCTCTCCTTTGTATGTATGTAACACATTAGAATGAACGAACTTATACTTTTGTTTGATTTTAAACATACATACCTATTAAAAGAAAATTTGAATTAGAACAATCGTAAAAAATTTAATCAAGCTTATTTAGTTATCAAATTATTCATTTTCTGCTGAAATCTATTTTCATTCCGAAAAATGTTGGTCGAAAGATCTATGTGTAACCAAAATTTTCAAAAATAAGTATGTATGTTTAATATGTTATATATAGTCCAAAAAAACAACATAAATTCCAATTTATAGAAAATTAATTGTTTAAATTGTGTGGTCACCTCTCGGGAGTGAATTTCAGACCCCCGGAATGTATTTCTGCCATGAAATATGAGCTCTTCATAAAAATATCGGCCGTTGGCAGGTGACTTGGAATAAACTGTAGGTACCTTTATTTGTTGGAAAAACAAGAGCACATACACCACAAATTTGAGGAAAATTGCTTTAGCTGTTATAAAGCGCCAATTATATATAAGCCAAAGTAATTAATTAAAATCCGTTAGCTTCAAGAAGTGTTCAAAGCAGTAGTAATATAAAAAATATATATTTTTTGCGAGAAAAAATTCTTACTTTAATTACATTAAATGGGCGAAATTTGAGTAAATTGTAAAGGCAATTAATTTTTTATATTCAAAAAATACAGCTTGCTATTCAAACTTTAGAAAATCTAAATAAAATGTCTTCTTCTCCCTCCCAACAGGAATTGGAACGTGCACGAATGGAACAGGAAAATGTTGCAACGGAAAAAATGGACTTAGAACGACGACTCAAAGAGGCTCCTACACTTTCATCATCCAGCTCAGATCTGGAAGTACAAAAGTTAAAGAAAGAAATCGAAATTTTACGTACCGAACTGTCACGTGCGGAAATAGAATTGGTGGACAATTGTTGGACACCGCCACCACAATTACAATCATGGCTACAGTATACCTATGAATTGGAGAGTAAAAATCACCTTAAGAAACGCATTGCAGCTGAAAAACAATTACAATCGGCGCGAGAAGCATGTGAAAAGTTACGCAAGAAACGTTCAAGTCTCGTTGGTGCCTTTGTCTCTACGCATGGCAAAAGTATTGATGATGTTGATCGTTCCATTGTGGAGGCGCGCAATTCACTCGGCGAAGTGACCAATGAATTGCAGGAACGATTACATCGTTGGAAGCAAATTGAAAATTGTCTCGGGTTTAATATTGTTAATAATAATGGTTTGCAATATTTGGAGAATGTATTATACAGTCGCAATGGCGGCAGTAGTGTTGGTTCGAATAAGGGTTCAAGAGGTAAGCGTTAGCAAATAGGCGTTAATTAAATGAAATTTTGATTGTAATAAGATAATGTGCTTTTGCAGGTCGAATAACGAGCAGCAGCGATGATTTAGATGATGAATCTGTACAAGGTAAGCCCAATTTTGACCACTTCAATTTGTTCTCGACTGAATGAGATGCAGCTGATGAGGCGTGGCACTTCATCACACGAACAAACATACATATGAAGTAAAAAAAAAAGAAAAAATTTAAATACGAAACACAAAAAATAGTCTACATTATATAATTCAAAGAATTAATTGGCAATGCAATATTACAAGTAAAATTAAATAAAAAAGTAGAGGTACTTAGTTAGGCTTTTAAAAAGCATAAGCGTGCAATAAAAGTTTTATACGTTTGCAAAAGTGAAAAAAAAAACAAATCAAATATTTTTGAACGCCAATATATTTGCCACATTAACTTAATCTCGTAACACTGCAGCTGTGAAGCGTGTTTTTATAACATAGGCTAGCGAACAATTTTTCAAATGGAGCATATACATTCGTAAATATATATATTTTTGAGAACTTATTTTCTCTTTAGCTTTTACTTCTTGGTTAAATTGTTTTAATATAATACAAAAAATGCCTCATGTAGTTATTAAGCCTGTTAAACAGTAGTTTGGTGCTAGGTATGCATACAAATATATATATATATATATGAATGCATTAACGAAAGAGTGTAGAGAACAAGGAAAGTAGTTTATAAACGTCGTAGTTAGTTGCTCAATATCATTAGAATGATCCAAAAGAATCAATGACGGGAGTACTAAGAAATATTTAGTTTTAAGGCTAGTTTTTAGGTTAGGTTTTAGAAATATTTTTTTATATAAGCATACTATTTTAAAGGTAAATTATTATAAAAGAGTTTCGTTTTGTAAACTTCAAATGGCGTTTTGCTGCAGCTCTAAAAGCATTTATAAACTTTTTTTTAGCTAGCCTACTGAGTACAGGGGGAGAGTGTGTAAAGTTTTCGTTTGCGCTTATGAAAAAAATCATTAAATAGTGTGTAATGAGTTATTTCCTTTCTTCTTAAAGTTTTTAGTTTTGTTTTTGTAAAACACCTGTTTGTGTTAGCAGTTCCGTGTTTTTTGTCTATATTTCTTTGTAAGACAATCTACTTTTTCAGTGTTATTTGCGTAATTTAACAAATAACATATTGAGAAAGCCCATAAAATTGTATTAAATTTAATTAAAAATTAAAATTTTTTTCTAATGGAAAATATATCATATTTAATATGCTTTAATTACTTAAATAGAGATCTTTGTCCGAGTATTTGTTATTTTTTCTTTTGTTTTTATACGCATCCGAACAGGAAAATAGGCGATGGTTTCATTAACTATGCCAAACAAATGTTCGAAAAAATAGTGCATTTGATAGCACATAACAATAGACCTTTTTTGTATGTAAATTATTGCGCCTTGATTAATCAATTTTTTTATTCGTAATAAGAAAAAAACTACTTGCCGGCAATAAATGCAAGTTATAGCCATACTGGTATGTAATTAACGCTGTATATAAGGCGTAATAAATAAACGATTAGGAAGGCCGAAAATTCGAATAATTCCGTGATATTTGTAATTTTTTTTGTTGAAGTACTATGAATTTCGTACCAAACGCAGATATACATATTATGTACATTATCAATAAACTAATAATGAGTTTTAACACGTAGCGAGTATAATTATATGAATTCATACAAACACGATGGAAAATATTAACTTTTTTCAACAGGTGTTCGAGACCGAATATCTAGTTCAATTGAAAGGGGCAAAGCAAGAATTTTTGTTTATAATTTTACGTTTTCATTGCCTAAACTATAAATAGATAAATTACAAAAAAACAAAAAATAAAAAAAAAATTCTTAATTGTAATTTAATGAATTCTTTACACACTCTTAACCTAAATAAGCAACCTTAACGGTTATCGTGTAGATATTTTTTGACAGTTTCATTCTTTATTAATATTTAAACTACCCATAAAGGTTAATATGAGCAGCTATTTCTAGAGGGAGAAATCAAAAGCAGGATAATTATTGAAAAACGCTATTATTTCATTTTATTTAATTTATTTTAAACCAATTTTTACAAACCAAGCAATTAGTGCCACGCCAAAAGTATACTGAAAACGAGAAGCAAACAATTTTTATATTACTCTCTTGAGCCCTTAATGTATTTGAGCGATGTTTTAACGCTTGCCAAAATGATATGATTTTTTGTTGTTGTCAAAGCAGAAAAAACACACATTCATAACTTTTTTACGAATATTTTAAGATAATAAATTGGCGTATATACTTAATTTGCAGTCAAAAGCTGTTTGCAAATGTATGAAAAGAAATTTTTTTTTTGGAATTTGCAAAAAAAAATGCAAAAAATACAAAAATTGTGAAAAATATTACTTTTCTTATGCTAATTTGTTATCTACTGATTGATTATGTTAAAAGCTGCGTATTTTCTGTCCACATTGTTTCCACCCAAAATTTAAGTTAATAATGATTTCCTGTTTTTTTGTTTTCTTTGAATAATTTTACATGATAATGTTTATAAATTTATTTATAAGTTTATTTAGTAATGAATTTTACATAAACCTTAAAGCCCTTACTGTTACTATTTATACATAACATACGTTTATATTTTATTTTAGCCCAATCCGTAAAATATATGATTTGTTGTTTAGTTTTTTTTTTTTAGTTTTATGTCAATAATATTTAATGTTAACAACGAATGTGCTTAATCCCTTCCGGTGCTGTAAGTTCCGTCATTGTTTCTTTTGAGTTCTTTTTTTATTGCCTGCTTATTTAAATCCATGAAATTATACATACATATATATTTATATAAATATTTAAATTGTTACTCCCCCTCCAATATATTTAGTTGTTTCTACTTTAATTTTGACTAGTTTGTAATTCGTTAATTAATCTCATGCGCCAACAACTACACTCAATTATATTATACTTATTACCCAATCACAGTGGGATTTCCATTGAAATTTGTCAAAAATGTAAAACAAAAAATAATAATAGATCATCGCACTGTAAAGGAAAAAAAACACGAAAGCATTAGCCTTTCAAACATTAACGTACATGCATATGTAGGTGTTTGTGTGCGGATTGCAGTAATTATTGAGAGCTTTGATTTAAATGAAATTAATCACTGAGCAATTTCGAGATTTTCACGGTACTGTCATTCCTAGCGTCCACAATTGCATATGTTTTCCTATTTCAAACGCGCTTTTTACATATTAGCATACATACAATACATACATATGTGAAATTGCCTGAGTCATCATGACCAATACCCTCAACAACATGCAAATAATTGTTTAAAAATATTTATGTTTGGTATGTAAAGAAGTGTAAAAAATACAATAAAATATTATACGAAAACATATTCAAAAAGTAATAAAACACACTCGTCATTTCTTATTTTGAGTCGCGTTAAACATTTTTCGGAGATGCTGTAGAGCTTTTATGTTAACAAAACTACGCTAGAGCGCCAGCAAACCACCGGAATGGATTAACATCAAATCAGTTGTAGTATATAGAAAAAGAGAGCGTAAAAGAAATGTTTTTTTAATATACAAAAGTAATTGAATTTTTCATAGACTTACAAACATGCACATACTTATATTAGCCACGTTTAATGTGTCTAAAAAATGGCGTGTATGAAATATCGTTTACTTACTCTAGTGGAGAACGTAAAGTACGTATTTTTATTCTAGAGATTCTGCATGAAATGCCTAAGCAATTGTTTTCTTTTTATTAAAAATATAAATTGTTACTATAATTTTTTTCTTTTAATTTATAATAAAACTTCTAAATGATATTAATTTGTTTCATTTTATACTTTTAAACGCGATTTTTTCTTTTTGAAAATAAAATTGGAATCTAGAATGTTATAGATAATTCCGAAAATAATATGAAAAATCATAGTAAAAAATAATAAAAATATATATATATAAAAGAAACCAAAATTGTAAAAAATAAGCAAAAAAAGAAAAAAATAAAAACATAAAAAAAGAAAAATAAATAAAAAAATATAAAAATAAAATATATAAATATAAAAATAAAAATTAAAAAAATACTAAAAAAAAAGATATAACCAAATAAATAAAATTGTAAAAAAACTAAATTAAAATATGAAAATGTAATTAAAATGAAAAAATAAAAAATTATAAATAAAATAAGAAATAAAATAGTAAATAATAAATAAAATAAGCAAAAAAAATAATTAATAAAATAAGCAACAAAAAAATATATTATTAATAAAATAAGCAAAAAAAAAAATAATAAATAAAATAAGCACAAAAATAAGAAATAATAAATAAAATAAGCAGACAAAAATCAAAAAAATTAAAAATAAAAATGTAAAACAAAAAAATTGAAAATAACAAATAAAAATGTAATAAAAAATTTATTTAAATTTAAAAAATAGAAAAATAAAACAAAAAGTTAAAAAATAGTGAATAAAAAGTTAATAAAAATAAAGAATAACTAATAGGAAGATCAAAGATAAAAGAATTGAAAAAAGAAAAAATGATAAAAAATGTAAGTAAGAATTATCAAAAATAAATAAAAAAAAAACTAAATATTTTTCTTTAAATGTAAATAAATAAATAAAAATATAAAAAAATTAATAATAATGTTAAAAAAAAGGAAATCAAAAATTAAAATAACAAACAACAAAACTAAAAAAAAAAAATTGAAAAGGTTAAAAAATAAATACAAGAACAAAATAAAAAATTATAAAAAATAAAATAAAATTAAATAAAAATAAAATTAAAATCTAGCAAAAATAAATAAAAAACTAAATGTTTCTCTTTAAATGTATATCGATAATAATCAAATAAGGAAATTAAATTTAAATTACAATTTAAAAAATATAAAATAAATAAATAAATAGTATAAAATATGCGACTAAATTGAAATGAAACTATTGTTGTAATTTTTTCACATTTTCCAAAAGCTCATTAAAATAAACTAAAATGAATTATAATAACATAAAATTAAATGAAATAAAACCTAATAAAAAATAAAATAAACTAAAATCTAATAAAAAAAAAAAATTACGTAAAATAAAGTAATATATGAAAC